TTGAAATAAAGCAAATGCTAAATGTGCTTTTCTGCGTCATAAAAAGGGAAAAGAAAAGCAGAAGTAGAAAACCGTTTGCCCTCTGCGTTGGCACTTTGCCCCGACGAAAAAAAAGTTTTGAGTTCTTGTCTTATTTTGTCGCGTCTAATGGTACGTTTACACTTGCGGATCCGCCAGCGAATCCGCCCAGCTTTTGCCGCGGTCATTTTTTTCGCGAAAAGTATCTCTACCTTTGCAGACACTTTTTAGTTACTTAAAAAATTATTTAAGTTATCGTTACAGTTACTTGAAAAAGAAATGCATCGAGTTAAAGTTAAAAGTTAAAAACAAAAAGTAACAAGTTACTGTATCGCGATACTACCCGAGAATGTTTCCAAAGGTCGCTCATTTGAGTGCAGCGCCGACATTTACTTCCAAGAGGCGCTCGAGGCACGGGCCTTGTGCACTCGCGCATACAGGAGTTTCCCCAGGAATTGAAATCAGGGGGGGGGGGGGGGGGGGGGGGTGTCTAAATTTTTGGGGCGGGGGGGTTAAAGGGGGGCATTGCGAATATAGGAGTCGTTGTGAATTAAGGGGGTGCCTTCGGAAAAACGAGGGGGGGTCTAGGGAAATCCCTGCGCGCATGTGACGCTACTCGAAAGACAATCGCAAACAAAAACCTTTCACTCGGACGAAATGTTTCGGGATTTTTTGACGATTTGAATCATCCCTAATGTTATTAGGGAATTTCTGCTCTCAACATAATACAACAAAGGTCCAACGTACCATTTCTTTTTTTTTTTTTTTTTACATTTAAAAAAGTGTGTGGTCGTTTTAAAGGGTCGTTCTTAGAATCAGTAAATGAGCTACGCTTAGATTATCGTCATTCTGTTCCCCGATATTGTTGTGGGCGCCGCCATCTTGGTGCTTATGCAGAGCAGACGACACTGCCGATCGTCATGATTCGTGGGTGCGATTTCCTGAGCATTAGATTCGGTGTTAGGAAGCTCATGCAATATTGCATTGCTCTGTCGCGAACTGTTTAAACATTTGTGGAGGATGGAAAAACGTCTGTAGTGATTTCAGACATGGCTTCGGATAACTGGCAACCAGGATTCTGAGCTACAAGATGGGCCAGTGTCGTTACTCTGAAGCATAACTTATTTAGTGGCGCTAGTCGTTCTCAAAGGTCATTTTAATCTCTAGCCTCGTTCCCAGGTAGCTCCATCTCAACCTTGTTCTTCTTACATCTGATCCCTATTAGCGCTGAAATGTTTCAACGGCGCCTTCCATGACGCCACGAAAAGAATTTGCCTTGCCGTGACGTCACGAGCAGTGGTTCTGGCTACTTATTATTAGTTGGGAGCCATCGCGTTTTTACCCTTATGCCCGTGCATGGTTTGGCCGATCGAAAAAAAGCCGACCATACATCGTTTTTAAACGCACGCGTCACAAAAAAAAAAAAAAAAAAAAAAGAAAAGAAATAATGCGCATTTATTGATTATTTTTTTTAACGCATAAATTTATTATTAAATTCTCGGAGATGATGGTTGGCAGACGAAACCACTCGTTTTGTGGTTTTGCGCGGGACGGGCAATTTTGGTACTGTGGGAGAACATATATTAATCGCTTCCAGAGCCTCCTCTACTTCCCCAGGTATCTCGAAAATCTAAGCACTCGCAAGTGAAACCGAAAAGTGCTCATACTTCTCAAAATGGTACAAAATAAGTTATCTTATAAGTTGAACGGACGACAAACAGGTGCTGCCATGTAATATACAGTGTTCCAAATAACTTGTACCATTAAAGAGAATGTTCTATAGAATTGAGTTTTGTTAGCGTTTTACGAAAGCGCACACTTTTTTTTTTTTTTTTTGTGCGTTGGCATTTTATTATTTATGACTAATTAGGCAACCTTTTTAATTATTCGTTTAAGGACCGAGGTGTGAATTGGAAAGTTACAGAGCGCATTGAGAAACACCCAATAGACCTTTTTTTTTTCAAAAGTCCGCGCCAACACCTGTGTGTGTGTGTGTATGTGTGTGCGTGTGTGTGTGTGTGTGTGTGTGTGTGTGTGTGTGTGTGTGTGTGTGTGTGCGTGCGTGTGTGTGTTGGCGATGTAGAAGAGGAAATAGAGGCAATCGCGGGTGCAGACCTCTCTCACAGCCTCTTGTAAACGCCTGTCCGCCATTGTTTGTGCGCGTATTCTGAGCATCTGATTGGACACGAGCGCTACGTCAGCGCTCGGCGAGAACACGCGTCCAATCACGCGCTTCGGGTATGCCCTGAGGAAAAGCGCGAGCACCTGCTGCCGCAAAGCCCTACAGTCCACGCAGGGCGTTTGCACATAACGTCAATCCGCCATTTTGTTGTTAATTCTTTTTCTTTCACACAAATTTATTTATTTGAAGGATTACATCGCAACTGGTTGAGGATATGTCAGCGTGGTATAAGACATAAGCTTCTGTGCTCTACGCATTTGAGGGATCATGTGCATCCTTGGAATGCTCGAGTTCGGCACACGGCAGACAACTCACAACAACAAAATGGTGGACGAACTTACGTCAGTAATTTCGTCCACCATTTGAACCCGCCCTCAGACGCTTTAATAAAGAGGTGTATACCTCGTTTTAAAGCGCGAGCTCACTGGCTTCCGCAGTGCTTTGGTGCGCGTGCCTGCGATTTCATACTTGTGTTAGCAAGAGCAGAAAGTTATGGCAACTAGAGGTCAGCACACGCTCAGTAGTCGTGCACACACCTAGGGCCGCCAGTGTATGAAAACAAATAATAAAGAAAGAAAGAAACTTCAAAACGGAGTACGTTCTTTTATAAAGTAGCATGCCAAGTATTTTTTTGTTTGTTTACGTGTTCAATCTGCAGGGGCAAGTATACGCAACCGACAAACCGTCAAATTCAAGAGAACAATGCCACAAACTTCAACCTTGACCATTTTGCCCGGGGCCATTTCGGCCGAAACAACTTTCTCAGGATCACAAAAAAAAAAATAGAGGGAGAAGGGGGTGGGGGGTCATTCCCTTGCGTGCACGTGTCGCTCTGCGCGAAGAACGCGGTCAAGGATTGTCGGACGCAGGGACGAGGCCGTAATGGATTACAGCGCAAAGGTCGGCCTCTCGACAGCTCTTCGCAGCAACCTCCGATGCTCTCTCCCTCTGCGCCGGCAATCTTGCTTTAACCATTGGGAGAACCGGCCACGGAGGTAATGCGTAATTACTTAGAATCCGTTACTTTTAACACAGAAGGTGTCTTATCAGCCGATTTTCATGTTTGTTGTGTAACCTTCGGCTGTAACGAAAAACCGACGCCGAAAAGCGTTACACACATACTTCAGTCCACAAGCAGGATTTGAACTCACCACCTTTGTGAGCCAAGTGTTTTGTCGACTGAGCCAAACTGAGCGCGCTGGGGTAGAGGGCCGCTCCGCGCAAGAACGGACTCATTCGAGCGGCGCGCAAAGGCGCGCTTCACGGCCCTTTTCCGTCAAGCTGCGCCATCCCACTGCATGCGTCAAAAATAAGAGTGCAATCGCAGTAGGCGATGCCGTTCAGACGCCCTTCCCTTTGTTCCTAAAATGCTTATTCTGCGCTTACCAGTCTTTGTCAGCATGATCAAGCTTGTGTAATTTTTTTTCTGCACTTGGGTCATTACTTTATTACCGTATCTCCCGAACTGTGGTCTGCACGCAAAAAATTTTTATACGGCTTACGCCTTGACTAATTCCCGCTTAGTTAGCTCAAAAACAAGCTTCTAGAATGCATAAATCATCATTGGCATACTGCACCATTCTCAACATCCACCAAGTATCGACGGTATTATCCTAATGAACAATAGCGAGTTTTAGTAGACCGTGTTTCCCCCTCCGCTACCCGGAACCCTACAGCCAAGGCCATCGGCGCGCAGGCGCGGTGCCGTTTTCTTCGTAGCGGAGGGGGAAACACGGTCTACTAACCTAATCTAGTGTACATAAACCGCACCGCGTAAAATTTCAGCCTTTAAACATAGAGCCCGCAGCCTACAGTCCGAAAAACATGGTACTTTTCTCAAAATGTAATTTGAAATGTATATCTTTTTTTTTAATAACGAATTACCGACAATTAGTCGGAGATACAACGGGTAACGCACTCAATTCTCACCCCACCCATTTTTTTTTTTTTTTTTGCCAGGCGATTTATTATGGTGTCAGAAGACTATCCAATCAATATTTTGCTAGTCAAAACGCAACTGTTCCAAACCGAAACTAAACTGGACGCCTACCAAAAGTCACGTGGCTGTGCAACTTTTTTTTTAATTAACGTATTTGCAGTTTTCTAGAAGCCACAAAAAATGGGTATGATATTTTTTTTTTTTGTTTATTTTTAGTATTGACTGAGTGCCTTCGATAACCCCCGACTTTGATTATCTTTCGTGACCACAGAGAAGAAAGTGAGCGCGACTCAAACTGGCCAGCTCTCGATCGGCGGTTCTCGGGCGGAAAGAAAACGAATCTCTTATATGTCATTAAGTTGACGGCCAGTGTTTGCCCTTCTCAGTGACGGCTGTTTCAGGGGGCAAAACACATGCCTTGTCCCCCCCCCCCCCCCCACACACACACACACGCACATTCTGAGAACTGTGTGGGGGGGGGGGGGGGGGGCAAGCGCCCCCCTTGCCCCCCCCCCCGATTAGTACGCCCATGCCGCACGCTCAGGAGGCGCCCCACAGCCCAGTTGACAAAAATGGCGGGGGTTGTGGTGACGTCAGAACGCCGAGTTATGATTTTCTCCGAGTGGAAGGGTAGTTGACGTGCATGAAGCCAGCTACCACCCACTATCCTTCCAATCGGAGCCAATCCGGGCTCGGCGTTCTGACGTCACTGCAACCCCTGCACGAGGAGCAGACGAACTTGAGTTCGTCTGCTCCTGGTGGAACTGGTTGGATTGTGTACAATTATTAAAAAAAAGAAAACAAAAAGAAGCACAATCTTTTTAAACCTACAAACAAGTACCGATCGTACTCCAGGCATGCTCGAAACAGTCTACGTGACATCATATCTAGAGTCCAGGCAGTCGCACTTGGCACCGAAATGGCGGCGCCCGCAAAAGAGTTGAAGAATGAAGTGCAGATGTAGTGGCTCCAAAGAAGGTTACTGCGAAGCGCACGTGTCAATTATGCGACTTTAGCAGCACGCAGCTTAAGAGAGTGTTTATCACTCAAGCTAAACGTCTCGCAAGTTTGCAAAAACAAATGCCGAGGAATTTAATTTATTTAATTACCACAGTTCTCTCAAAAGCCGCGTATTACACAAAATAAAAACAAAAAACAAAAAACACACATTGGCCGAAAGAAGTCAGAAAGTCATGGTTTCATTGTCAACAGGCAATAAATACTGGCTCATGGCAAAAAAAAAAGAAAGCACAAAAAGTTTGAAACCCTAAACATAAATTGAGTATTGATCAATTTTTCGTCGTCAGGACTATGGAGTCACAGGGTTTTCAATTTGGAATTGGATTCATCTCAAAATATTCAATCATATGCATACCTTACAAGTTCAGGCATAACAGTATAACAGTAAAACACTAACCATAACAATCATAGAGCTCACTTGCACGACATCAGATTATCTAGCGCACTTTGCATATGTACACAAGTAACACAACATTTATGCACAACTTCACGTGAAGTGGTCAATATGTTCCATTATATATTAGTATATCTATTTTTTGTATTAACGCACACAAAAAAAATAGTAGCCAACAATTGTAAAAAATAGTGTAAGGTGCTGTACATGTTTATTTAAAACTTTGCTCTGGAACATTTTTTTTTTTTTTTCAGTTCTGAATTACTTTAGAGTGCTGTTCTTTGTTCATTCTAACCAAACATGTTTCACACATAGCCTTGTACAAAGAAGTACTACCGCCGAGATGAAACCTATCTATTGCACGGCATAAGTAACATATGTTTGATATCTCCTACCAGGGGCTCCGGAAGTATATCTGATGTGTGGGGGCGACGCGGTAGTCACAGCGCAGCGGAGGCTCCAACGCGGTATAACCTGGTGTTGGCACTTCCCGCATATGGCTTTTCTTTCGCGTCAGATTAGCCTGTGGCGTCTCGTCCCCTACGAAATGCAGCTTCAACATGCAACAGCCTCATGGGTGTTGGGAGGGGAGAAGAGAGGGGGGGGGGGGGAGTGTTGTCGGAACAGCTTCAAGCATGGGGGCATGCCCCCACTAGTTTAGAATCTGTGGGGGCGCCTGCCCCCACTAACCCCCTGGTTCCAGAGCCCCTGTTGCCTACTGAATAAAACAAATCAACATAAACAGCCCAATGTGAAGCAAAAGCACTTTGAAAGCTTCTGTCCTCATGAAGAAGAAACAAATGAGAACAAAGAAACTCTACAATCGGGAGTGTCGCGTGCAGTATTCTTGATTGTTACGCTCTCACATTGGGTATTGTCCTAGATATTTATAGCACCTACAAAATAAATAAGAAACAAAACGAATTACATTATAAAACAAAAGCAGGAGCTATACTCTGTTGCAGGTTCAGAAAAGCAGAACAGGCTTTTCCCACAAAGTCGTCCACTTCTTCCACTTTAAAGGGATACTTCAACAAATTTTGAAATATACCTGTCGTGTCCAAAAATAGGTTGAATATGATCCACAATATCCGTAAATGACAACCGCACGTTTATATTTTGAGCCTGGTGGCCGTATTTTTCATTATAAACGGACCACGCTTGCGAGCGCTTGGAGAGCAGCCAGCGGAGAGCACGTGACATCCCCCGCAATCGTGAAGTAGTTTGTCTCGGGACGAGCGAAACTGTGGTCAGGTTGAAGTCTAGAGGATGTTGTAGTCGTTCCAGCCACCAAAGCGGCTGCTTCTGTACGAATTTCGAGTGACGGGTATGTAGTATTTAAATTTTTTCATTTAAGTATTTCTCGCCACACTACCTAGATGGCGCCACTGTTACACCATTGCGCCCGTGTTATCAGGGTTGCGTCTCTGTGGCGCTCAACCCCACATTGTTGACCGTTAAATAAACAGTTACTTCTGTAATCTTGTAGGGGGACTATAGCGACTTCTGGGACACACAAAAGAGATTATTGGGGAGAGAGGAGTTCCGCCCTCCCCTTTTCTCTCGTGGTGGCCAGAGGCGAGACAGTTATAATCACTACGTGTCTAGGTTCCTAGACGGGCATTACAACAAGGCGCTAGCGACATCCACCAGGTGCTCTCTGCTAATCGTTTTAATTGGTTTTAAAATTCCTTTTTGTATCTTTTTTAACAAGATATTGGTGTGTCCGATGTGATGCTGCTCCTTTCAACACATATAGACCAAAAAATAAGTGCCGGAATTTCATTGCAGTATCCCTTTAAAAGAGTGAACGCTGGAGAAAAGTTACGAGAAAATGCAAACTTGTCCCGCTTTTCCCTGCAACACAATGTGCATTTTTAAGTGGTTGTATACCTTTGAGGTTTTCTGCAGGTGCTAGTAAGAGACAACCTTTCACGAGGTAACGAAGCTTAAGCAGCACAAGTTTTGCAGATCAACTGCAAGGTTTCTAACATGATTGCCTTAGTCATTTGTACATACAAAATCACAAATCTAAAATAGGTGTATACAAAAAAAAAAAAAAAAATTCAGGTGTACACAGATTTCTAAGTTTTGACCACTACCAGGCTTTTGATGACTAACTAGAAATTCAAGACATCCTCACAATGCATTCTTAAAACTGGTCAAATTCAGCAATGGTTAATTAAAAAGATGAACACCAACCAAAGCTGATTACCGAACGCTTGAGGAGAAATAAATAACTAGCACATTCGTCTTCGCTTACATGTGGCACAATATGTTTTCTACAACTAAGATTTTATTTGCAGATTTAATGTTCTTTGTAAGAGCAGATCTTTGGCCTGAGAATAAATATTGCGCACTGACCCAAAGGAGACATCTAAAACCATTGTAATAATGTTGTTAAAAAAGAATAGTTACGGGTATTAGCACATCCGTTAAAAATGGCTGCAATATAGTTTTGCTTGTAAGCACGGAGTACTAAACAGCTTAGGAAAAATAAATTGTGCGAGTAGTCTTTCAAGACATTTTCTTGCCCCAAAAAGAATTCCGAGATACTTCTTTTTCCTTTCTAGGGCAAAACTAGATTTTATCAGAAACACTCAACATCTTTGGAAGCTAGCATCCAACTTTATACACACTAAATTGTAAGTACTGTCCTTTTAAATTTTTGGAGTTGTTAGCAGTTGGCCTGAAGCAGGCACGTAGCCAGGATTTTGTTTCGGGGGGGCCCGCCCATGACAAAATGCTGTATGAGGGGGAGAGGGAGGAGGAGGTCCCAGCAAAATAGAAAATTTCAGGGGGGGGGGGGGGGGGCCGGGCCCCATTGGCCCCCTCCCTGGCTACGTGCCTGGCTTGAAGTATTGATAGTCATGTTCCCACAAATGAATGCCATTGTTTCTTGCCTTGGCATACAAAAATGGAAACCTAGTGCACTAAGAAAGTGGCTGAGAAAAAAAAGCTCCGTTAAAACAGCAGCTGCAATGGTGACGATACGCTGCGCTTAAAAGTATAGCGAAGAAGATGCTATGGCAGTTTTGCTGCGATTGCATTGATAATGCGCGTTGCATTCCATGATGTATGGCGACAAACCTGAAAATGAGGGGCACCACCACACCTTTGACAGAAATTCGTAGCTCCCAACGTGAGTGAAAACAAAGTACCATTAATTCAATCTACCATAAAATCCTGAACAAGCGCCTTTTACAAATTTGCAGCAAATCACATAAAACTGGGTCAACAGCATGTAAAGATAAGTCCTTTGCTTCCTTTTTTTAATGTTACAAAATTGAGGGATGGGCGCTTATTGTGGAATGGGCAGATGTTTGGTATGTTACGGTAACCGTCCCGATTCACAGCGTTATCATACACCCTGCTTTGCAATGTTTAATCTCGTTGGAATGGAAATACTAGCAAAAAAATAAATAAATAATATAGAACATTCTTTTTTCCACTTCAACCATGGCTCACTATGCTTCCGAGTGCTATTCCAGTGCAAACTTTACGAAGCAGGAGCGGGTGAAGGAAAACGTCCACCTTGCATGCCAAAATTAATTCTCTAAACTGATCGCTTCTTTCCAGAACTCTGCCCAGCGATGCAAACAAACAAGCGGCCCGAGTGTGAACAATACGCGAAACACATGCCAGATGCAGCTCTTGAAAGAAAATGGCGGCACATCTATGCACGACAACGATTGTCCATGGATGTACCTACGAAGTATCGCCTGAATATAGTGAGACAGGGAAAAATTAACAAGCTAGCTACTGGTACCACTCTGTTTCCATGCATCGTAACATTCAATGTATAGTAGGTACAGGGTGGGCGGCAGTGGCTTTGCTCCCCACCACTTCCACTGACCGGCCATTGCTCAGACTGACCGCCCACCGCTCGATTATGCCACAGGATGACGATGCGATTTTGCCTGCACCATATGGCTCCAGACCGCTGTACTCAGCAGGCCTGCACGCCGCCACCCTATCGCCTGTTATCGCAAGTGTCGCCACTCTTTCAAACAAATGAGTAGAGCCGCAAAGCGCCACCGGCAGTGTGGAGGGTGAGTGCTCAGTCAAAGAGAAACACAAAATAAAATAAACAGACGCGAGGAAAGTGCACCGCACGGCAGTTCTCTCCGCAGGTGGTGAGTGGCGGAAAGCAGAAAGCCGTGAGGACTTTTCTTTGACTGCTCAATGCTTGCTCGCACTGTGGCTTGTTTTATCTTCGCCCCTTCGCTCGCTCCTGCATTTCCTTCCCACCCCTTTTTTTTGTTTTTTCCAAGGCAATTTGGTTTTGGTTTTACCGCTGCGGCATGGCGCCATTCACAGGGCTACAAAGTTAGAGAGCCCACGCAAACTGCGTTCTGTCAGCGAGCAAGATCAAGCCGCATAGCAAACTACCCCGCCGCACGGTGGTTATGTCCACCCCTAAAGAATTCCTAGGGAGAACCCTGAGTAGGTACAATCACTTCGTAACTTCAAGTTTCCTACTTCGAAAACCTGGAGGTGAAAAGTTTGAGTGGTGCACAAGCGATCCAAATAAAGTTGTCTTATTGGCCGGTTACAATTAGTGAAGACTATAGTCTTCACGGTCAGTTACGTCTCAATATTCTGATCCTGTAAAAGGTATACCCATAATCCGTACAATTTTTCAGCAAAAAAAGGCCTAATGGGTGGTATTGTTCTGGTTATTAATGCGAAAGCATTTACTGTCTCATGGAGCGAACCGACGTCATCAGTCTGAAGCGCGCCAAATGGCACCTCAAATCCTTTCTCCAAGTGAAGACGTGTGATATACTCCCAGCTATGAAACCACGCGAAAAGCCTAGACAACAACACCTAGTTTCCCCAATCCCAAAGGAGCGGAGTAAAGCTGATGAATTTTGTCTTCAGTCCCATTGGCTGGCGCGTGTCGACGAGGCTCCCACCGACCGCTGCGCATGTCAGTTTCAACGCCCGCCGCCCCATGACGCTGCGCGTCCATGCCGCGAGCGCGCCTGTAACACGAAGCGTTCAAGGTCAGAGCTGCGAGGAGAGCTGGGACAGCGTTCGCACGGTCGACGCAAATACGCCGCAAACGAAGCACGGGAGCGGAAGAACGGCACGCATGCTTTCGCATTCACAACTCATAAGTGCTTAGGTATACCTCGAGCCTTGTTTTTTTTTTTTGCCTTCTATCGCATATTTTATGTGTACTTGTAGAATATATTACATGTGATATTGTGCCCCACACCTGTCACAGCCCCTGTTAGGGGTGAGCGATATTTAGCTGACATAACAAATCACACGTGGCGCAAGGTTTCAGCTCATACACATACCAGAATAGCACTCAGGAACACAGACTGCACCCTGTAAACCTGGTAAAGCAGAGCAGGGTGGCCAGATACCGGACTGTCATCCTTTGACACGCCATGATCAAAACTGTTGGGCACGCCGCGCGCCACCTAGCTGCGATTAGACGTCGGCAAGAGCTAATGTTGCAGACCGAAGTGTCGGCCGATCAAAGTGCAGGCCAATCAATATGCTTCCGTGGGGAATGCATCGTCGGACTTGGGACTTTCAGGAGTGCCGTCGTCAGTCGCCTGATAAGGCACGGTTCCGGAGGGGTCCGCTCCGAGAGTTCCGAGCGCTCCCGCGAAGTTTGTGCCGCGCGTCTGTGCATACAGACCCCAGGGTTGAAGCTCCGCCGATCCGAACAGCACGAAGATGGCGCCCGTGATGATGTACGTCCCTGAGGCGATGTAGAACACTATGCTCCACTGGGTGATGGTCTCCTGCGGGTGAAGTGTGCGTCAGTGAAGGTCGGTTCACATATTAGAGTCTAGGAGTGACTGAGTGCATTGCCATCACTTATCACCATTTAGGACGAGAGAAGACGCTACCGCCATGTTATGGGTAACCCCGGAACCCTACCAGTCTTATATATTTCCTGATTATTTACGCGTCCTTCTTTCGTCACAGGCTTAAGTTAATTCCGTCAGTCTTGTAAGCAACCAATCATGATAGGTATATAGTTTGAACACTCATCTTGGAAATAATATAAAATCTTTAGACACCTTACACAAATATCGGGGGTTATTCCACGGCCACCTGGAACACCTCTGCAACTCACACTCAAACGCAAGTGTGTGAACCACCCTTAGTGATGCAAGGTCTCAATTTGTGCTTCCATAAATGTCTCACACCGAAGAAGCTGGTCTCATGTACAATACAATGCGACTATTGCTTTTTCTTCTTCCCATTTTACAACTTCATTCCCACATAAGCCAGTAAGGCTTGTGTGTCGGACACGGCAGTGGCGGTACGGGGGAAAATGAGGTAAACTTACGCAAAACACAAATTGGATGTTAAACAAAAATACAAGAAACAACCACATTATTTTCATATTATTTCATATTGTTGCACTATTTGCAGCGACAAAAGTGCAGAAACGAGTGGTGCCAACACCTAGCTGCACATACTGACGGTTTGGTGAAACCATATTGGTTTATGTTGATACTGTCTTTGGTGTGCTAAGAAATACAATTTAGAGAGTTTGTACAAAAATAACTTTTTCCCTAGTATGTTTTCTTTTCTTCTTACTTTTCCCCTGTTAGTTTTTGACTGTCCAATTTTTCAGCGACATTTTGAGAGTTTTCGGAGATTTTATCATGACGATTTCTTTGGGTAACTCATTGAATATCTTGGGCACATAATGTTTTTTGTTGCCTCTCCCTTTTTCATATTTCTAAGTTGTTCACAGTATTAACTATTTGGTTTTAATACTCTTTCTTCAATAATTTCCGTTTTTTGTCTGCATTTACAAAAACTCTTTATAATTATGTCATATCTGATTTAATCTCTTAAACAGCAGCATTCCGTGCAGATGTATAAAAAGTTTCATGCTATATGGTAATTGCAAACCCAATCAAGGAGATGTGTTGAATAAGCCGTTAGTGAGACTTTGAAATGAAGCCCTGGTGCCGTCTTACGTTGTTGTTGGTCAAGCTTCCCACAGCCAGGGGAGCCAGGAATCCCGCCAAGTTGGCAAAAGCATTGGTCATTCCCATCAAAGTACCTGCCACAAAAGAAAAGAAAAACCAACAACAAAAAACGAATTTTTGCACAAGCTTATTGCTGGATAAGGGGCTCTAGGATAACTTTTTTGGGAATCTCGATTCCCACTCAAATGTGCAGTAATCACTTTCTCTTAATTTTTTAGATTCTGAAGTGCAGTCTTAATTAAGGCCTGTTCACACACTTGCAGCCAAGTACGACCGAGAGAGACGAAACCTGTTGAAACCTGTTGAAGCCTCTTAAAATTTCTCAGGATGAGAGAAAACACTAGCACACTGGTGCCATCTAAGTGGTGACCCTAGAACTGTATTTCACAAGAGTAAAGGTTTTGCGGGATTTCCGAGGTCAAGTGTGCGTAATACCTATGAGAAAGGCTCGTTTATAACGATGGAAAAAGTTTCTCGAGCCAACAATGAAAGGATAACGTGCGAGAGAAATAGAAAATCTGCCGGACCGCTATGTTTACACTGCACCCAATAGATGGCACCAGTGTGTCCTCTCGTAGTAAGATATATTAGGAGGTTCCAAGGCACTCTGTTCGTAGAGGTCGCAAGTGTGTGAACGGGCCTTAAGACACCTGTTTGCATAAAACATAGGCACGAATCTACCGCGCATATTTCACGATTGTTTTCCAAGAAAAATTTTTGCAGATACTTTCCCATTTTTCTGGCTCATCTTCTGTGACAAATTCAATAAAATATGACAAAGGCACTAATTAAAAAAAGCATCCACCGTTTTTCAAATGAGCACTTAGAGTGTAATTGGGCAGGGCTGCGAACGCCACTTGGACATGGCCATCCTGCCGACTATTTCCCTTTCCCACTTTGCACTGGTTGGGGAAGGAGGGGAGCAGCCATCTTCACACTATTATGGGGGAGGGACATATCCCACAAGAGGGATGAAACTCCCAACGATTCAACCTACTTATTTCTTAATTTAATTTAGCCCGCAGCACCTATACACCGCGTCAACTTTTTTGTGCTACATTGTCAAAGCTAGCATAGCTTCCACTGTGCAGCAGTCCCTGCTGCGGGAGCATGTGGCTTTGTCTTTTGCACCTCATTTGCATGTGCTCGCACAACTAGCTTTGACAGAGTTGGAGCACTGTGGAAGCTAGGCTAGCTTTGACAACGTAGCACAAAATGGTTGATGCCGAGTATAGAGGGCATTATTTATTTATTTATTTATTTCAATACCCTCAGGGCCCACGGGCATTACAGAGGAGGTGGACATACAATATTGGTTCAGTAAAAAATAAAAAAAAAATAAACAACTTTGTTATAAAAGTTAGTCTGGCATGGTCTTAGCAAAAGTGAGTAGTTAGTGCTTTCTAAATAAAACAATTGATGGAATAGTTACTAATGGCGCAACCGAGTAAACAATGATGACGATTGCATTTGACCGGCAGAGCCATCTTCTAGCAAACATGTGAAACGTTTTGCAGCGTGCGTATCCGTGGCAGCTCGCGTTTCCTTCGTGCGACTGATCTAAACAAGATGGCCGAAGTAACATTTACTGGTGGAAATTTCAAGACCTGCGAAGCTAGGTAGAGTAAAAAGTGTCCAAACGACCGCAAAGGTTGATGGTGTGTCTCAGTCATCTTGAACTTGAATGGCCGTTCATGTTGTGAGCCGTCGAACCAAATCATTTCGTCTGCTTGCGGTCCCCATGGCAGCATAGTTTACAGCATTCATGATTGCTTACCATTGCGAGCAGTCCTCGAAATGATTTGGTTTAACCTCTCAAATGAAGCAGAGTAACATGATGGCAATCGCTTCCCGCTGTCCTAAGCCTAACGCTAGGCTGGGTCGGTGGAGTCAGTCACCGAACTGACTGCCATCTTTTTTTACCCGACTCCTAACAGTGTTGGCTGCTCTGCGGTTACGATTCCAGCGGCTGGAGTGGGAGAAACCAACGAGAAGAGCGTTCCAAAGCCCCCAAGGACTCGCGTGCGCATGCGCAGTGGCATTGGCGATGCGCTCGAGGACAAACCATTCGTGTAAAAATTACTCGATAAAACTCCCTAATGTGGATAGGCAGAACCGCAAGAATAAAACCTTTACAGCATGTGATTGACGTTGCCTAATTCAGCCAGTGTTCTGTATTCTTTTGCTTCAGTCAAGTAACACTGAAAGGTAGGTGGGCTGGTATACACACATTGCAGAAAAGTTTCTTGCGTCTTTCTTAGTTTTTGTTTGATGAGCATTTTTTATCTGCCATGCTCCAGCCATGTTGCTACATGTAAAGGGAAGGATTGCGGGATCGTTTAGCGGTACCTAAAGTAGTGTAGAGATTTATCTATCTGCCTGCACATCGACGCTCACGTCGTCTCCACGACTTGGCCTAGGCTAGGCCTAGTGATCCAAAGCTTGGTTCACGAGTGTCTGGCACGTTAAACTTTCGTTCGCTCGGCATGTGCACGCTCAAATAAAGCAGACTACTTTCTCATTTTGCGCGTTTTATGTTCTTTTGCTGCGAACACTCTATTGCCCATGCCAGACAGCACCGTGCTATATGGGCATTCCTCGCGAGTCGAAACAACAAAATTGCGCGTCCAACGGTACGTGTGATCTAGTCAATTGTGCGAAATTCCGATTTCGCAATACCAATATGCATAAAACATAAAAACTCATCACGTGAGCCATGCAAAGAGGTGCGACTTACATACAAAAGTTTCTGAAAAACAGCTCAGTGTATATGGAAGTGTGACTTGTAGTTTGGAAGATACGGTATACAATATGTATACAGATATGCAAAAGGTGCCCATAAATAAGCACGAATATACAAGCACTGATTAACTCAAACATCAGGGAAAGAAAGCGTTAATCCCGCTTGTTTAATGGGAACTAAAAAAAGAAAAGTACTTCAAAAGCACTGAAACCATATTACTGGATAGTTGATATTATTCTACAACTCTAGGTAAAAAAAGGAGAAACTGAAAGCACCAGCACTAAAGCTGAATTCTCAAACTTTACTAGGGTGATGCGACCTTTGCGAAGCATTTGGAAGATATTGTGATATAAAAAATGGAGTACTGACTGGGCGACCCGTGAAGGAAATGTCCCCACCTGCGAAGTCCGGAGACATGTCGACGTGGGTGACCATGTACCCGGAGAAGGCGAAGGCGTTCAGGCCCATCCCCACCGTGAGGAAGGCCACACTGAGGATGTAGTTGCAGCCCACAAAGGTCACCGCAAACAGGCAGACAGCCGTCCCGAAAAACGCTAGCACAGAAAAAGCATGGAAGGGATTAACTCATTGGTGACTGGTCCTCCATGAAAGAACTCATCAAGTCTCTTGCAATCTCTTTCACATCTTAGACACACCCACACAAAAAATACAGGGCGTTTTTTTTTTTTTTTTGTAGCTAATCCAGAATTTAAAAAAAAAAAGAAAATCTGGGCTTTGGTTTTTTTAGTTTTGGGGTAAAGTTGGTGACTACGACAGCCACTAGAAAAGAGATAAAATGGGTTGATTGAAGTGTTGTGCATATATTCGAATTTTCGAATTGTTGTTTCGAATAATATGTTATTCGATATTCACTGTGAGATGAACTGCGATATTCATATTTCTCTAAGTGCTGACCGCAGCGCCTGTGCACTGCGGAGAAGCAATGCCCGCAGGCTCCGTGGGTATTGCTTCCCTGCAGTGCACAGGCGCTCAGTAAGAAGCACACTCAACTGGGCTAACCCGCTGCGATTATGCCACAGCATGTGTTAGGCAGCGACATGCTGACAACCCGCGACCATCATTTGTGCTTATTTTCTTTTTAAAGCAAAAGCATTAACTGTCTCATGGAGCAAGCCGACGTCATCAGTTTGAAGTGCGAAAACGGCACCTAGTTTTCTTAATCCCAAAGGTCCCATTGGCTGGCGCGCAGCGAAGAGGCTCCCATTGGCCGCTGCGCGCGTCAGATTCAACGACCGCCGCTAGATGGCGCTGTGTGTCCGTGCCACCAGCGCGCCGGTAAAACTAACCGCCGCAACCCCATGCCACTACGGTCCCCGCGCCGGTTAAAACGGACACGTTGGCGTGCGCTCAGAGGCTTCTGCTCGTCTCGCCGCTGACCAACATGCCGTCGCCTCCAGCATCCACATCTTCGCCGGTGCTTCTGCCACAGCTCGAAAACATTACTCGCGCCACAAAACTCCACGGATCACTCCGCGACATTCCATTGGATATTCATGCTTTCGCATGAATGTCCAATGGACATTCATGCGAATGTCCATTTTTTGTTAATTTTGAAATTGAAGAAATAATATTTTTATATAGCAAGCATATTTATAAATCTCTTTATTTAGGATAGCTGGTACAAATTTGCTGTTTACACGACACAGCACATAAATATAGTTATATTAAAATGACTGAGCTTAGAAGTGGAAGGTCGGGAACAAACTCCACGAGTTCAGCCGGTCACGGTCTTGAAAGTCTCGGAGAAACAATTCGATACTCGATTCGAAAATATTCAGCCAAACCCACAATTCGCTCCAAGCTCAAAGTCTACCATTTGAACATAACTCTACTTAACTAAAAAATGAAGACATTTACAAATCTCTGTAATGCAAAATTAGAGCGCAGTTCTTGAGGAGAAGGGGGGGGGAGGGCATGCCCCTCCGTAACTCCCCTCCTCCTCAACCCGCTAAACCTAGCAGGGAAAATTTCCCGTTAAACTTAGCGGGAAAATTTTCCGCCAAATTTAGAGGAGAAATTTTTCGCTAAATTTAGCGGGAAAATTTTATCTGCTAAATTTAGCGCAGATACTTTTCCGTTAAATTTAGCTGGGAAATTTCCCCCGCTAAATTTAGCAGGGAAAATTATGTCGCATGACTTTGTGTCATGTTACCCATGAACAAAAACAGTTTCTCCGCCAGATTTAGCGGAAAACTTGATGTCAAGTAACCTCAACACCAGTTCAATTTCCCGCTAAATTTAACGGGGCAGTTATGCCCCGTTGGTGTCGTCGACACCGCGAAATGCGGAAACGTGCACCTAAGAGCCGAGTTCTAAGAGAGTGAATGACGTTTACAAATCTCCGTAACGCAAAATTAGAGTGCAGCTCTTGAGGAGGAGGAGAAAGAGAGGGTATGCCACTTCTCCTTCCCCGTACCCCTCCTCCTTTTCCCATCCTCCTCCTCCTCCTCCTCCTCCTCCTCCTTACCTTCCCTTCCTCCTCCTAATACCCTCTCCTCCTCCCATAGTTTCCCCGCTAAATTTAACAGAAAAATTGACGCCACATGAAATCAACGGCAATTCAATTCCCCATCAAACTTAGCGGGGAATCGAATTGCTGTTGAAGTCATGTGACATCATTTTCCCCGCTAGGTTTAACCGGGAACTGAGTTGCTGTTGAGATCACGTGACATCAATTTTCCCGCTAGATCTAGCGGAGGAACTGGATTTGTTCATAGGTGACGTGACACCAAGTCATGTGATGTCAGCTTCCCTGCTAAATTTAGCGGGGAATTGAATTCATGTCGAGGTAACGTGACACCCATTTTTCCGCTTAATTTAGCGTAGTGACGCTGACGTACCAAAACCCGGAAACAGACGCCCAAGAGCTGCACTATAAAATGTTTTAACTACAAAAAATTTGCTTTCTGCATACTCTTGTTAAACGAGAACCCCGAAATTAACTTTTCACTATTCTTGACAGGTGAGACAGAGAATGAGAGAGAGAAAGAATAAACAATACTTTTGGAATCCCCAGAAGACCAAAAGGACACAAACGAAACCCGACTCAGTGATCATAGTTCCTAATTTCAAAATAAATTCAGTGTTTCACAGGGAAATAGAAGATGCTATAGTCGTTGATGGGATTAGAATGGCAGGGGGTTCTTTCAGTGGTACCGCCTCCAGTGTGAGCTTCCCACTTTCAAGAACGCTTCAGCGCCTTGTGGGCTTCAAGCGTGCACGTGCATCCAAAACGCAACAGGGGGCAACAAGCGCATGCTGAAGGTCGGGCATCTGAAGGAGGTGCCCTGCCACCCTCATCCTGTCAGCGGCTACAGATCTCGAACTCACAGACGGAGTTGAAGAACTTGCGTATGATGCTGGTCGAGAAGAGGTCCCTTCGGCGAATGTGGTCGGCGAGGATACCGGCGCTCCAACTCGTCACAGTGCCCAGCAGGTAAGGGAGCGCCGAGACGTAGCCGTTCTAGGAAATGCGACGAGACGTCCTCGGCGGTTAGTACTTCGGGACACGCCGCACAGTCGCCCTTTTCATAAAACACAGGGCGCCAGGAGTAGTTGTGTCTACACATAAGAATTTTGGTTAGAGGTAGTAGATGGGCACACTGTGAGACACAGTACAAACATGACATTGGGGCTTTTCGTGCATTATTCACTCAATACAGTTACAAAGACCACACTTAGTTCCCTGGGCAGGCACTATTCACTTTTTGATGACAGCCTTTCAGTTACAACTGAAAACGAGTGGAAAGAAATATGAATGGCATAGTAAACTGCATCACACGCTGTACAATGGAACAGTCCTCTGCCATTGGGAGGCGACATATCTAATTCTAACACACTATGAAGGTTAAAGGCCTGTTCACACGGTAGAGCTTGACTACGTCCAACTACATTGCGGGGGTTTACATCAAGATATGATCATGAGTTAACATGGCAACCAATGATCAGCCCGGTGTCTTGAGGTCATATTTGAATGTAGGCCTCCTCAGAACATAGTCCAATGCTACAGTGTAAATTTGCCTTTACACACTGTACTGTAAAGCAGGAAGGGGGGGGGCACTGCACAGTGCACAGGTGTGATGCGTGGCATTGCACAGACCTGCTTAATGTCAAAGTGGAGGATGTTCTTGAGGTAGCTGGGTAGTTCAGTGAGCAGAGTGTAGAAGCCCCAGTTCTGACCGAAATGGGTCAGCATGAGCGCCCAGAAGGGCAGGGAGGTCAGCACCGCTCGCCAGGGAATCGGCAGTTTCTGCACAAGCAAGAGCATTAAGAAAACCAGCCTCGGCGAGCCGGATACATCCTTTTGAACGACGAGAACAGCGCATACAAAAGATGATCACAGAAGAAACCAGTACACACGCAATGCCACTTTCGAGGTCGACTTTTGTAAGTGCCATTCTGATAGTCCGAAATCATGTTCTACCAGCTAGCCCGAGCTTTAGTTTTAACAATGAATTCATCCGTGCAGCGTTTTTTTCCTGCCTTGATCTGGTTGCTTCTAAACAGTTGGACAGCTGTAGGGAAGATAGAGAGTGGCCGGGAGTAACATGGTACCGCCGATCGACTTTAGTCTTTTCAACAGCGACTCCCATAGTTTCTTTTGTATTGCGGCGTAAATGCAGCAGCAACACCTTTACAAGTGAGGAGACAGTGGAACAGTATTTATCTGCATCAAAGGAACAAAAAGATATCCATGCGTGAAGCTAATTTTGAACGTGCACAATTGTGTAGTCAGCGAGACACAGAAACCTAAAAGAAACCCGGTAAGCACCATGCAAACAAATGAAGCATTCACTAACTTTCTCACATGCTTCTAGGTTTTCACTCATGAGCAGTACCAATCACACGATAGTAAGCCAGACTCGGGATGAACTCTGAGACAATGTGTATCTTGAGTTCTCCAATTTAGTCCAATGAAAACGTACATGAGCCAAGCACAAGAATAGCATGCCAGATGATAGATTGCAACATCACTGAACATGGGTACGCGTTCGCTGTCCCTTGTTCTGCAGCTTCATGCCTTAATCGTTGCACACTGCAAGTAAAGTTATGGCAGAGGTCACTGGTGCTGCCCTCGCTAGACAGCCTCATATTTTGGACACTTGGTGTCGCCTACTTCCTTTAGGTCATGGAAGAAGTCTATGAATGCAAACGATTTAGACAAGTGTTGAGAGAAATCAGAGTTTATAACTGAATTGTGCAGTGCATACAAGACAAACCCACCTCCCTGGCCTGTTCCTCCCCCTGGTTGGTCTCGATGTAGATGCGCTCCTCATCGCTGATCCTGGGGTGCTCCTGGGGGCTATTGTACACCAGGAGGGCCCAGAACACAAACCACACTATGCCAATGAGTCCTGCAAATAATGATTGCACAATGTCGGGGACCATCCTCAGTTTGCATCACGGACAGCTGGGATTTATTACAGGATGAACAACGAAAACAAAAAGAGTGTGGGATATGCACTGTGACAATGATGTTGCATCACAAGTTGCATTAATGAAAGCTTCTTCCTCTCTTATGAGCTATCTGTTCGGCCTTATCTGTGGATATTTTGTTGTATGACTAAGAAATAAATACATCTGCCTCTCCACTGAGCCAAGACATATCTCTCCTCATAGCCTTAAATTTCCTTCTTTTGTTTCACCGTCCACAAAGACAGGAGGAGGAAGCTAAAATTATGTTTTGCCTCGCACAAGCTTTGCAGTTTAAGCTAGCTTCCGGATGCCTAGAGTCATGCAATCAAGAGAATAATATATCCCCTCTCCCCTGTGAGCCAAGACAGATCTCCTTCACAGCTTTCACGACCCTCCAAGACAGAGAGAGGAGGAAGCCGAACCAATGTTCTCCCTCGCAGAAGTTAGGCCTATGAGGCTGCCTGGAGCACCCACCGAAAACATAGAAGGCGGCGGGCCAGCCGCCAAGGAAAGTGGAGTCGCAGAGGATGCCCGAGATGGGCATGGCGATGACGGTGCCTATCTGACCTCCCGAGTAGATGACTGTCGACAGGAAGCTTCGCTCGTCCTTCGGAAGCCACCGAGCTATCATGGCGTGCATCGCCGGGAAGGTCACGCCCTGGAACATTGGCACCGTAAGGTACCGAGCATGTGCCCATGCCACAATAAGAACCCATGTCACAAAAGGCACCCACCCCCCACCCTTGAAACACAGGCAAAGGATATATTGAGCGCCTACCCTGGCAAACTTCTGAGCCCAATGACATTAAACGGGGTGCCCCTTTGCATCAGCTGCTGCTTTGAGAAGACGAAGCTTGATGCGAGAGTGCTGGTGTGACTGCTTTAAAACTTGGGGGCTCCGCCAAACCCCGACACTGCTCCTATACCGTTCCGTCGGGTCAAACAAGGGCCTACCTTGCCATGTGTCCCTCCTGCTTTTCTGCCCTTGGACCTAAGAAGTGCCCATCCCGGTTTTCGTGATTCCTCTAATGTTTGCATGCGCCCTTGTTCGATATATCACGGTAGGTTGTAAAGATGCATATTAAAGGAATGTTGCCAGAAAGTTCGCGTCTAAGTTCCCTTGTCTTTCCAGGATTTCTCTGAACCTATTCAAGAACTTTTCCGATTAAACTGCACATATCCCAAAAGACAAAATTTCATTGCCATTGAAAAAATAGAGAAAGATGGTGAGCAATCAGGTTACCTAGGCTCAGGCTACTCGGTATGTTGGAGAGGCAATCTCAGTTTTGACGGCTGCAACGGTTGTCTAAGCCATCGGAGGATAGCTTAGAAGACATTGGACGATACAGGCAAGAATCGTACGAGCAATCTGCTTGCAGCGCAGCACTTTTACGCGATTGTTGAGAGTGGCAAGTGCTCACCTCTCCCAGCCCCATCATGACTCGGAGCGCCACGAAGGCGTAGAAGCTCCACATGGCAGCCACGGGAGTCAGCAGCGTAAGCAGCGCAGTAATCAAGACCCCAACTCCGTAGAGCCACTTGGCACCAATGCGCTCCGCCAGGCGCCCACCCGGGATTTGGGTGAGCACGTAGCCATAGAAGAATGCTCCCAGGGCGATTCCCTGCTGGTACTCGTTCCAGATGAATGTACCGTCCTGGAGAAAAAGAAGACCAAAATACGGTGAGAACTGCAAGATGCAACACACTTAAAGACAGATTTTTTTTTTCTTCTTCGAGGTGTGCCTCGCACGTCTGATACCTTCGTTACAAATCCACCTCTTTCCGAAGAATCGGAGCCGCCTGTCAGAGGCTCGGTTTGAGTATTTCTTAGTAAGAGGAAGGTAAAGGCACCAGTGGAACGGGAAGGGAGACCGATTGGGGTGCGAAAGATAAGCCCGGACAAGCACCAAAGCAAGGTTTCAAAAGCTCAATTTGGGCCACCCGGGCTCAATAGAACCAGATAGAGGCTAACGTCGTCACTCGAGAAACGTTCGCGCTCGCTCGTGCTACGCCAATGAAGACTCATACTGAAAAACACACAAACCGAGAATTCGAGAAAAGGGTGAATTCAGCAGAAAGCGAAACATGGCAGCATCGAAATAAACAGATGTTGTGTCTTAATGGATTCACATCATTCTCTGGATTCTCCAACTGCATGTATCATATTTTTTGGACTATAGTATGCAGACTACAAGTTCAAAAGTAAAACTTTTTACGTGGTACTCACAACCTACAGCTGCAAGCTATACGAGGATTTTTCTTTTTTGTTTGTTACGAGTTGCGACGAATTTTGTGAATGACAGATTATGTAAATGACGACTTTGGGACGATGCGAGCTTCTTCGTGTGCTAATAAAGCAATCATTTTTCTATGAGTGCTGTTTTTTGAGAATGTCTAAATGCGGAATGTGCACCAAGTGCGCATTCTGCTTCTTTTTTTTTTCAGTCAAACTTCGTCTCTACAGACAATAGACTCTTTTACTGTTCAAACATGAACCGCCGCCTGCCTCCCAAGCAACTTCCCGTCGCTTGGGACGCAAGCCCATCTAGCTTTGCTTATGACACCAGTGCTAGAAAGAATAAGTGCAACACGGACAACAAGGTTGGAAATTTATTAAGGGCCTTCGGCTGTACAATATAACGTCTTGGAGGAGACAAGTTGGTTTAAAAGGATAATCGAAAAATTTGAAGAGATGTCACACTTAGTTCTTTTGGCATTCATCTGGAGAACTGAGGGTTAAATGTTTCATTGACATTTTTGTTCATTATTTTTATGAACCGGAAGTTCTCTGGGATGTCAAGGTCTGGAGCATTGCCTGGTGGCATTTGCCATGAAAAGGGTCTATATACACTGGGCGTGGACTATAGTCTGCAAAACATGGTACAGTAGACTCATTAGTTCAAACTCCATGAAGCCACAAATTTTGTTTAAATTATCCCAAGTTTGAATTTTCAGAAGTTTGAATTATCAGAAATTCATCTAGATATGATGCAAGATAAAATTATGACTTGCCATATGAATGGCTACACAAATAAAGCAGATACGTGATGATATTTTTTATGTAGGCCTACTGATCCTAAGCAGGTGTGCCACACATGAAACATTTGTGAAATGTGTGACATAAGTTTATTTATCCCTCAAAAATGTTGTTTATTGTGGATTGTTTAGACAGCACACAACAACTGAAAACAAAATTAAGTTTGTTCATCAGACCAAGAAGTTGTCTAATGTGAACTATTAAACAGGGGACACATGAGCAATGAAAACGGGCACCGCCGCGGCAGTTTTCATAGCAACGTGTGCGTACGCTGTGACGTAGATCTATGGAAATTCCCTTGTGGTGTCCGATTACATAGCTAGCCCTGCTTGAACCCCGTTGAGTGCACGCTTCTCACCAAGCACTGCAAAGAAGCAACACCCGTGGAAGCAAGCGCCACGGGTGTTGCTTCTCTGCAGTGCACTGGTGCTTGAAAAAAAGCGCACTCAACGGGGCTGCGCGAACAAAAAGTATGGATTACACGAAAACGCCGTTCGAATCAAGCGGCTTTTGAATACATTAAAAACATAGCAAGACAACAAAAATTTTGAAATTTGTTTGAATTAACCAGAAGTATGAAAAATCTGAGCTAGAACTATTGCGAGCCTACTGTATATCCTTGCTTTTTGCTGTGCATATAGTATCTACAAGGTGTCCTGGACGAAGCTTAGCTATGGTCTGTTGCAGGTTAGGAAAAGAAGGACAAGCCCCTCCCCTAAAGCCCTCCACTCATTCTATTTAGGTAGAGCGATTGTTGGAGAAAGGGTGAGTGGAGAGCGAAAAACCACCAAGGATGGCGAGCAAAGAGCTTCGCGAGAATGGAAGACCACAGTGTGAAATGCTGCGGCTATAAGCCGTTCACCAGTTCGTTGTCTGACTGGCGAGCCAGATGACAGAACTTTACAAGGCTGAGTCGGCAGACCTTTCCAGGGCTATTGTCACGCTGACATTTCCAGCTCCTGCCCTTAGAGCAGGTGCGAGTGCTTACTTGCAGCTTCTCGGTGGTCTCGTTGAAGCCGTCCGGGCGACACTCTTGGGCATACGTGGGAGTGTGGTTTGTTGAGATGGCGGTGTGATTGACCATGGCCACGAGTGCCACGCTTAGGTTCACGCGTAAGGCGTAGACGTTCACAAATCCGAGGAATCCCATGAGCGCCAGAACATGACGAGTTTGAACTGCATCGTAAAGACCTGCAGTAAGCGGGGGAAAAAATAATGTTAGTGCACGTTTTTTATGTACTATAATCAGTTCACCTTTAAGCTGAGACTGCAGCCAAAGCTGTAAGCACGAGCTAGTTCGCACTCCTTATTTCTTTGAGGTGTGCCTTTCTAGCGCGAGCACTCATTCTTTGGAGAAAAAAAAAGGTTGTGAAGCAGTTCCCATTTGGCCATCTTACTGGTAATATTATTAAATTAATTTTAAAAAATACTAGTTAAAATGAAAGCATATATTGCTCGTACTGAGTAACAACCTTGATTTTCAGCAAGATATGCGCAACGGCAAAAAAAAAAAAAGGATGACAAATTTGTGTTACCGAGAGTTACGATTTTCTAGAATGCTAGATTTCTCCGATATTCGAAGCGTTACAGGATGAAACACCTGCAGCTACATCAAATATACCGAAGCGCGCGCTTTGCTGTCTTTGCGCGGATGTATGACAGCTGTTCGATATATAGTATTTTATATATATCTATAAAGCCGACGTAAACACACAACAGCAGAGCGATTATTGCGATAAGGTTATTAGTACTCGACTTTCAACATACGCGCAGTTAAAAAATAAATCAAAGAAGAGAGAGAAATAAAAAAAAAAAAGCAACTGCAGCAAAGCCCGCATTTCGCAACAATATGTTACGGACTGTCATTGCGGACAGATGAGTCGATATTTTGTACGTCCGCAAGAACTAAGAGCAACTCATCGCGACGCTCCTTGGAAACCGAACACCCCTAACGACAACAGCGTACTTTCCGCGTCGAACGTCAGCGCGAAACGAATTAACAAGGGCCGCAAAATAAGGTTCTTCAACTCACTTTTGAAAGATCGGCGTTTCCGAGAGAGCAGGGACTCGTTCGTTCCGTCTTCTTTGTCGAGTAAAGCCATCCTTCTTTTTCCCGTCCGGTAGGCGTTCTGTGAACAGAGTCCTCCGAGCACGAGCCGGCTACGCTAATAATGCCAATTAAACAGTTAAACGTGATCCATACGGAGAAGACCTACCGCCGGCAGCAGTCCCCCTATCAACTGGTGAGTGAGTGCAGCATTGGATGGAGAGACGGAGTCTTTTTCGGTCTTTTTTGAAGAGCGAGAGAGAAAGAGCCGGGCGCGTGCGTAGCTGGCGTAGCGAAAAGCGACCAACAACTCGCGGTCCAGACTCGGAGCGCTCCAAGAGCAGCTTCTTTATCGATTTTTGCGTCGGTCACGGGGGAATCGAGATAACCAGGTCGCTCGCACAGTACTCGAAAACAATGCCGAGGAACCATTTGCCCATCTAGCTTATCTCAATACACGAAGCCCCGGCAGAGCGCGCCCACACACCTTTCTCCTTCAAGTTACTTTCGGTTCTGGTTTCGTAGCGCACTTTGAGGAAACTTTTAGCAAGGCACAAAAAACAAGGACTGAAATCGAAGGCGAAGGTGTATACAACGGTACAACGTTTGGCGCAAACGCGTAGCTTCGTCCAGAAAAAAAATAATAAAAAGATTGGGGCGTGTGAGTGTCTGAACCACGACCAGCCTAGAACTTCGTCTGCTTCAACGGGCGAATTGTCATGCAGCTGTAGCTGAGAAATTTAGCCGGTGCAGTACAGCCGCTAGCCTGGGGTGTTTAACGTGCACCACGCAGTAGTGATACGACCGCACGCCGGTGCGATGCTCATCCAGATCGAAACGGGCAGGGGTGGGGATTTAACCCAAGATCCCTGAAGCCCCTCTAGCCTGGGAAAAGTGGCGCCATTCATTGTTGTGCAAATGCTCGAGACACGTGCCACGCGCCACTTATGGGAAATTCATGGCGTTAAACCCAGCTGAGTGCTGCGCTGTGCCGCCATAATCTTCCCAGGGGCTGCACGTTCCATGTGCCTCATGCATCGACGCACCGTGCGCTACATTTGAAACATGAAGGGGCTTTAAGGATCCCTGGGTTCTGCAGCGCGAGCTTTCGCTCCACGTGCTCCGAGCTCGTGCGCGCTAGCCCACTCGGCCACCGAACGCAGGGCAGTCAAACGTATGATGATATGATGTTCCCGCTTTGTTCTACGACTCCCCTAATGTCACAATCTCAGTGGCTGCCGAGAGGTGATAAGATGCTCGAACATCCTACGACGCCTATGGAAGGGCGACTGGTCGTATTCCGTCAGGCACAGCTTTTTTGATACAGGTGATATGTTATCGAGACCATATTCCTGATAAGAACACGCGGTAAATTCGGAGATTTTGCCTGAAGGTTTCAGACAAAAGGTAAAGTGATAAGATAAGCTGTTGGGGTTCGAACCACCTGCCGTGGCAGTCCCAAGTGCACCGATAACCTGATCACTCACATTTTTTTTTTACTTCTTTTTAAGTTTACGTCTGTCTGATGGTGCACGATGTGAAATAGAGATTTAAAAGAGATTAGTGCACCACCCTCTCCCCTTCTTTTTTTTTCCCTTGACCCAATGCCTACAAGCCTCAACTGGCAACACATTACTTTTGACTTCGCATAGAATAAGAAAAAAAAAAAAAAGTAAAACACTTCAATTTTAAATGAAATGTGAACACTTCATATGAATCTAGTATTGACGAGCAGCTCTAGATAGCGAAACAGGGCAGAAAAATTTTCCAGCCTGCTATGCAAATAAGAACAGGGCTAAATTTACTTTTTTATATATGGCACATTCATTTTGGCAAAAAGTGTAATTATACCCTGCAATAAAGCAATGCCAGAAAGCTGTATTTTGGATGTGATTGTTTATTGCAATAAATACAAAAGGGAAATATGCGGTGACATATATGCCTTTGCTCTTTTTCAGTTAAAACAATCTGTGCAAGGAAGGCAAAAAACAACAAAAAACAAGAAACATCATTTGCAGATACTATTCACATATGATCACCATCACCTTCCCCACTTTTGAGCAGTTCGTATTGTGCAAGTAAGTGACATGTATGCCGACTGCTGTTTCAACATGGTAAATGTCACACGTTACTATACACTGATGTATGCACACATTCCAACATATCATAAACAGCCTGGGGGCCAAACCCTGCCCCATCATGACAGCTACAGGAAACAGATACTAAAATGCTATTACACAATCCAAAAATTTTTTTTTTGAAATATAATAGTATTTATAAAAAAAAAAAAATCATTCAGGTGGCAGTTTTTGCAGCCGTCCAGACCTTACCGGGTATCTCACTAAAACATGACCAGTTGGAAGCAGCAAGTGCAAAAATATTCATCATAAGTTTCCACAAAGAATATTACACAACAGAGAAAGCTATCTCTAGGCTAATGGCTCATTCGCAACGCCATTACAAAGCGGAGAAAATAGGGTTCCTTCGTTCAAATCATTATCTTGTGTAAATAATATGACGTAAACAATGGCCCACAAAACATTGCACATCTCTCAGAACAGGTAGGAAAAAGAAAAACCTTTGGCAAACATGTTAGACCTTAAATATTCTTTCTCTGTTGAGTCACGCACGTCAAAAGGGGAATAGACAGGTGAACAGTAATGATCTATCGTGATTTTACCTCGGGATTGCCACATTTGTTACTGGGAAGGTTACTAGAACAATCATAATGCAGATCCACACACAAAGTTTGCGAGAAACTCCTTTTGCGACTTTGGCTTAGTGCCGAAAGGTGCTCCGATTGCCCTTAGCCCGGCTGCAATTAGAAAACAACATATCCAAAGACACAACCACACCTTTGGGTCACAACGAAGATTTGCACGAACTTACAGACACACGTTCAGATTGTGCAAACACCGAACACGACAGAGTCGCGCGCGAGAGACTTGGGCAAGCAACACCAGGTCAGTGCCAGGCCCCGATTGGTTGCTTCTTCCTTTAACTCATGAGCAGAAGCCAACCCGACAAAGCTGTCTCCAAGACCGGCAAAATCGAGGCTTTGCACGAAAGAGCTAGCCGACGACTCTCTCCCAAAAGCTATGGGGGAGCTCCGCGTTCGAAAGGCTATACGTATAGGTATATATATTATAAACGCTTTGATTTCATCTTAAAATAAATACTCTCCATATATTCCTCCGCTGACTTTGGTTCCTAACATAAAAGGATCTCCGCGAATGAAAGCACGCCAGGAAAAGGAAGAGTCTCGTCTAACAGTTCTAATTCGAGCGACAGATGTCTTGTCGTCGATGCGGAGTAAAATGATTGCAGTGGGGATGAGTGAGCGCACGTGCGACGATGGATTGTCCCGATGGTGGCAGGTGAGAGTTTGTGTTGCCCCCTCTATTCTACGAACAGACGTTGGCAGTATTCTAATTCGGTGCCTCGATGAACGCATCTCTCTCTGAATATAAATTGAAAACATGAACAGGGTTTCGAAATGCTTTCCGTGCCTGGGGCGACGTCATCTTGACACGAGAAAAACATCCCACCTCATCACGACCAAGCTATCGAGTGTTCTAACGGCTACCCCGGTAAAAAATAAATATCATGTACAGCACCGGTTGCCACGTTCCAAGACGAGTGGCTTCTCAGGATTGTTATGTACCGCACATTCACGGAAGAAACATCTATACGTGTTAAGTTCACTGGGTGTTCGAGCAGTGTTGCCAGCAAACATTTACACATTTTCTTTATCTGTAAATATGGTGAGAAAATGTTGCAAAATTGCTACATACATGCACACACATACTAAAAAGAGCTGGTCTCAGCTCAGTGTCACAAGCGTAGTTAGTGCTATACCGTGCTCTTCAAAGCACAGAAAAACTACAACTGAGTTATGCACATGTGTTTACAAATAGCAAAAAGAGCAAAAACACTTTGGGCCTGGGCTTTTCGGCTAAATTAGGTGACCGGACAACTCGCCATACCTCTACCTCGTGCAGAAAAGGCAAAGAGTTTTGTACTTTAAAACGTGTAACAGCCTTACGAAATTCACAAAAAAAAAAAGATGAGACAATGTTAAATTAAAGCAGGACGTCTTTGACCAAGAAAAAAAAAAAAGAATAAAAAAAGTTACTTGCTGTCAAACTAAAAGTCTGGTTGCTTTCCCTTTTAGACAGAGATAAAAAAAAAAAAAAACACCTTAGTTTGTTGGCAAGCAAGAAACACAAATTATGTAATAACAAAAAAAAAAAAAGAAATGGTTTCGCAGAACACTTTTTTTTTTAATGGGAGTGACATAATATTCTAATGACACTAAAGAAATTTTCTACAGCCTGAAAAACACAGCGCCCATTCCCCAAGTATATACTCCTCACAAAATACTGTTCTTTCACCAGCATACAAAACGCATCTTTTGATTATGAAAAAAAAAAGATCTTGGCTCCGGCACTCGTAAAAAGATCCTTCCGATTGTCAAAACTTCACGTTCTGAGGGTTTCTTAAAGGGACACTGACACCCCCCAAAAATTTTTTTTATTTTTTGCCAGGCGCTTCATTATGGTGTCGGAGGACTACCCAATAAATATTTTGCAACAGAGTAGCGTATTTTTTTAATAAAGCCAAAAGACGCAACTCCTCGAAACCGAAACCGAAACCCGGCGGAGGTCGGAGAAGTGGAGAGAAGAGTGTGAGTGGCGGAAGTCACGTGGCTACACCCTACCGTGCGTTTTTTTTTTTGTTTGTTTTTTTCTCCTTTCCGGTAGCAGACGACAGGACATGCGGCGTGCGATGGGGCGTGCGGGAACTGCTCGCCGTGCGATTTTTTTTGCTGTTATGTTTGTTCCGCTCGTTGTTCTGTACTCCAAGATGAGTTGTTTTGTACATTGAGGAGTTGGAGATGAGTAGTGAGTGCCCGTGGTGAATTTCCATGATCGGCTCCGAAAAGAATACACCCAAGATGTTGCGTGAAGAGCTGGCTCACATTTCCTGAATCCGAAAAAAAGTGGCATTGTGCGACAGAGTTTCCGAAAGATCAACGGGATCGGGACCAACGGCTGGCTGCAATTCCTGTAGAACATATACGGGCACCTCGGAAAGCGGACGTTACCTGATTTATATGCTCCTTGCATTTTGTGGAAAGTGATTACATTGAGCTCGCAGGTGTCAAAACGGAAATCCCATACCATTTAAATCAGCGAAGTATCGTCCACAACATTAGTTTGTTATTTTTTTGTTTGCTTCTTCAGTGATGATTGTAAAAAAAAATTATATGTAAACATCGGAAAATGTTTGAAGAAAAAAAAATAAAGGTTCACGGGGGATCGAACCCGGTCCTACCGCGTGTGAACCGGACGTCTTCCCCACTAAGCTACTGGGGCATCGCTTTTCTGTTGGATCTCTTTCCTTAGTAACAATTCAGCCGGTAAACTGTAAGTTGGAAAGTTTGCTGTCGATTTTGCTCCAGCAAAAGCACTCCTGGGTCGAAGTCGAGAAGCACCACGCTTTGGGGACATTCGCACCTAGTAAAGAAATCGTACGCGTGCATATTGAACTCGAAGTAGACACGTCGTGCTTGACGTTTGCGCGAGCGATGTCTTCAGCCACGAGAAGGGAGCGACGGCTCGGCAACGTCTTCGTGCAAATCGGCTTGGTGGCCGGGCGTGTCGTACGGGATGAATACCAATTCTTTTGATCAGTCCCAAATTTCTCTTTTAACGGTAGACAGAATTCGCCGGTACCGCGAACGACAGTTCTGAAATAGAGGTCCCACGCCCGTCGTCCCCGCCATCGCCGTCCCCGCGAGTCCCACGATACGCGAAACGACGAACGCACAGAATGCTTCCGGTTGTCTGTGGCACTTTTTTTTTCAATCAACGTATTTACAGCTTTTTAGAAGCCACAAAAAATGGGCTTCATATTTTTTTCTATTTTTAATAATGAGTGTGTGCCTTCAGTGACCCACGACTTTGATTAAATTTGGTGGTCGCATCGATACCTTAGAAAACGGCCCGTGACCGCGAAAAAGAGAGTGAGCGAGACTCGAACAGGCCAGTTCTTGATCGGCGGTTTTCGGGCGGAAAGAAACCGAATTTCGAGCCGCAAATTCTGTTCTGGGTAGTTGAGCTCTCATATGTCACGCACAACTAAAAACCTCAGCGAGCATAAATACCCTGTCAGTGTCCCTTTAAGCAAGATTTCAACCTCCCTGCATTGGTTAATAACTGTAGTTGATTCAACAGATTTTTTTTTCCATATATAATTACTGGAGTGTTGAGATTGTCAGACATTGATTTAAAGGTCTCTCAGACAAACCACTTTTGCATGTAACACACTACGTTTTAAAATGGACACCAAAAGAGTACCAAGAAAAGTTGCCATATGTCTCTTCTGTCCACTCTAACCTATAATCAATGGCCAGCTTTGAACAGAATAGGTTCTGCAGAACAAGATAACTCCTTATCACCGGAATGCTTCCAGAACATCTGAATGCCACTATTGTACAAAGATTGTCAGATCATGCTTCAAACAAAGGCAGGGAAGGCTCAGAACCACTGATGTGCTTAGATCTTGCCACGTCGAAAGGCATCCTGCCCCAAAACACAACTTTCTCACACTGCAGCCAGAACCAGAGTGCCGTACGCCACTGAATCCCCTCCAAACCAGATTTGTTGTTCGCCAAAAATCCACTTCTGAACACACCAAGTGTCCGACGTACCGCCGCAACCAAGGTCGATGGATGGGTGCGGTTAGCAAACTTCTAAAGAGAAACAGACCTTCCTCTTTCACTGGCATTCCATCACCAGTTAACTGGAGCGCCACAGCTTTTGCACGCTGTGATGCACCCCCACAACAGCAGTTCGAAGCGCAGCCAGAGCTTGCAAGAAAGATGGCACTTCAATCAACTGCTGACAAACTTTCCGGGAGAAAGGAGCTAAGCTTTCGCAAGCAAGCCTCTCACAATCTGCTGACCGATGGTATCCATCCAGTAACGTTGGCCTTAACGTAATCTGCAAACCGTGCTGTACCAACATCTGCACATAGAAAACTCTGAACTTTCAGTGAATGTGCATTTAGGTGGTGCACTTTACCAGGAGGATATTCAAGCCATAGCTTCCTTCCTGTGATAAGTGAGACCTAAAAACTTGCTCGGATCAATAGCAGACACGTTCGCAGAGAACCGAGTTGGCGATTGTCATAACTTGTGGCGCCGTCTCTCGACGGGTGCGTCGAGCAGACGAAAGTGTGCATCATTTGCTCGCTGCACCTGTCGGGAGATGGCACCACAACCTACAACAACTGCCAATTCGGTCGTCTATGAACACATTCGCCGTTGACCTTGGCGAGTTTTTTTAGTCTCCTATAACAACTGCCAATTCGGTCGTCTATGAACACATTCGCCGTTGACCTTGGCGAGTTTTTTTAGTCTCCTATTTCGCAGGAAGGGGAGCTATGGCTTTAAATTTCATAAGGTAAAATGCACCACTCGAAGGAGTTAAGACGCGAAAATTAAACGGGTAGATTATTCTTGAAAAGAAATGTTTACAGGCTACTGACTATTTGCGTTCAATCTAGGAAGAACGCTGACCACTCTCGTCTAGCGACCCGGCAGCACTGCCCAAGTTAGTCACACCATGGTGCCCATTAACCACATGATCATCATATTTAGTCGAACGCTATCATGTTCTAGGCACCCCCATGCTCGCCGCGGTACAATCGCAGATTCTCACGTTACTCGGCTACTCCAATGCTCCTCTTGCTCTCGCCCCCTTCCCTTTGACCTTCCACCCAGCATGCATGTGCAAGGTCGACACGGACGACTGCAAGTTCGTTCGTGATGATCTCCTCGTCATTGCTGGATCTGGTCACCGGAGGGTCAAAGTCAAAATGACCAGCTTCCAACATCCCTCAATAACAATCACTCTCATGATCATCGCTGCTGCGATCCGTGCCGAAGACTCCGACGATGCGAGGAATGCCGTGGATGTCGTGGTCTCGAAACCGCGTGCTCAAAATGTGGAAGGTAAATAAGGAAGCTGAAGCGCGAGATGCCAAAAGAGTCAAGTCTGCGAGAGCACGCAAGGGGACGCCGCACGCTGGGCGAACGGCTTTATCGACGCCAACAAACCTTTTCGGATGGGGTGCATCCAAAAGTCCAGAACATAAATCGATTCATAAACTATTGTGCATTTTCAAAACAAATTTAGCAAAACATATAGGAACTTGGAATGGGACCTAGCAGTATAGTAACCTCATATCTTATTTTTCTGCATGCCCTAACCCCTTAAAAAGCACATTTGGTGAAAGCTCGAGCTTTCTATGTGCAGGCGCCGGTTTTTCCTGCCCTTTTTAGGGCATTTAGGGCCATTGTAGATGCCTTACAAAGTCATCTACGTGATGAGAGCGGTATGCAGGAGTTTCAGTCATCCCACCTCCAACACAAGCTTGCTGCCTTCCATGACACTCCGGCTTCTGGCAAGCTTTGAGCAGGCACATGCAGCCAAAGCATGTTAAAAGGCAATGAGCATCTGCTCAAGGCCGTTCCGGCATTCTCATTCCGTCAGCGACCACGGTCCCAAATGACCACACTCCAATCTCCTTAAAGAAAGAGCACAGAGACTCAAACTTAAAGGTCCAAAACTCCAAACGGGAGAAGAGACGGGACACTGAAACACAAACCGAGAGCCGCCGCCGCCGGTGCACAAAGAAGATGATGCAAGAGGTCGCAGACTAGTAGTCCACGAAGCTCTCGTCATGCGTCTTGGCGTGCCGCTCGTAGTGGTGCTTCTGGATGAACCCGCGCCCGCACAGCTTGCAGCGGTACGGGTGCTGGGTGCTGATCGTCAGCAGGCTGCCGAGGAAGCTGTTCTCCGTGGCCGTTGTCTCCTTGAAGCGTCCGTCGTGGGTCGGCAGGTGCTTCTGCAGGTGGTCCTTGCGCGTGAAGGCCCGTCCGCACACCTCGCACTGGAACGGGCGCTCGCCTGTGTGCAGCCGCATGTGGCGGTTCAGCTTGGCCCGGTAGTCGCTCGTGTAGGGGCAGAAGTTGCACGGGAACTTGCGCAGCTTCCCGCCTTCCGAGGAGTGGTGGTGGTGATGGTGGTGGTGGTGGGGGAAGCTGCTGCCACCGGAGTTGCCGTCCACGCTGCCGCACGGCGACACGCTGGACAGCATCAGCCCCTTGGGAATCCGCACCGTCACTGCATTTTTTTTTTTATTCTTTTAGTCTTTTTGTTTTTTTTAACAAAAATATGCAACGAGGTTGCTTTATGTTAAAAGTTTGTCACTTTTATACAAAAAATAGGGTCGAAGAGGGACGGCCCGAGACGCAGCCGAGTGGAACTATGCCGGCTTGATCCGGCGGGTCGTGTTAGCAGAAAAAATAATGGCAAGTACCGCATTTTTCAGTCTGTAAGTCAGTGTCGTAAAACGTCGTGCCCTTCTATAAATGGCCGTTTTGACAGAAAAGTCGGCAGACAAGTCGCACCTTCGTATAAATCACACTTAAATATTTGTATGGTCGGTGCTGCAAAACCAAATCGATAAGCTCGCATATCTGCATTTTGTGACAGCGATATGTGCAAAAGCGAGACCCAGTTTCAATATTCTCTCCAATTAATAAAACGAGAAATATTACCTCCCGTGGCAAAATTTCTGCGGTAAAGGCTCCAACTTATAGAGAAAAAAAAAAACAAATACATGGGAAAATACTTTTGCCCGTTTGCTAGTGCAACATTTCCGCACTTAAGAATGACTGGTCGTTCTTTCATGTTACCATTTAAGCAAGACCTACGGTCGATCCGTACAATAGACAAAGCCCGCGTCATACACTCAGCTGCGTCTTGGTCCTGCGTTCGAACAAATCTCTTGTTTGTACAAACATACATAGTAGTAGCGTCGGGACGTTTGCGACACGGATGGAAGGAAGCGCACTTTAAGCAAGGTTTGGCGGCGAAATTCATATCTACAAACAAGTTTCGGGCAGGGCCACAAATTCACATCACATTGAACGATATATGTAGATAAAGCTCTGAACGTTCTTTACTTACGAATTTAGGAAGTACAGTAAGAGTGCTCTCCGAAACACTGCTGACATGCTGAAACTTAAGCAAATTATGAAGATAGTCAAAGTTTGCAAAAATTTGTAGAACTGACGCGAAAAAAAGCCAACTAGGGTGGCAGCCATTGTTGCACTAAAACACTTAGCTTATTCAGGCCCCAAAGACAATAAATCTCATGATGAAGCATTGTTGCCACACTGGGGTTTTCACCGGGTTCCCGCTAAAATTCTTGAACCTTACAAACTCACCGGTCCCATTAAATCTCTCCTGTATTTCTACTTTGTGAAATCTCGTTACCGACTTAATTTAAATACAATATCAAAAACGCTTTGCTCCTGATACTGCTCAAAATAAAAGTATCAAGCATGCACATGCTGTGTACCTTGAAAGGGGTAACCTGACCGGTCAGTTAAGAAAAAAGCTGCAAAAATCCATGTTGAATTTTACAACTAACTCTGAACTCCGGTCGCACGCGCTCGGTTCTTAAAGAGTGTGTACAGACTTGCGTCGCTTCTGACAAATTCTGAGATGGACCTCGCCATGCGACTCGTTACACCTTGCAACACGTTTCGGTGACACTAAGAAACACGCCCGGGCAAAAGCGATAGAAGAAAATTCAGTGAAATTGAGTCCCACAGACGGCACAGATGATTTCCGAACATCGACACATACTTCCTCGCTTGAAGATGAAACGGGAATGCTGAGTCAGCCTGCTTTCCAGCAGGCTAAAGTTGAGTCCCTTAGCACGAAAACAATAGAAAAACTCGACAACATTTGCAGTTTCAGCACCCACATCAACAAAGTCACCAAGGACACTTTGACGTAAAATAGGACCATCATAACAATCTTCAGAAACAACACAGAGAAGAAAAAAAACGACCGTGAACACCAAAACCAACGCTGAAAACAATGCTAGAAGCCACACCAGAACCCAGGGTCAAACGCGCGTGCAACTCCGGCAAACACGCGAGCCAGACCCGCACAGCCTCGGTCCGTCGTGAATCCTACGACCACAAATCCTCAAAGCTGGGTTCCCGGGAACTTGGGGGGTTCCCCAGAGCGCCCTCGGGGGCGTCCCTGAACTCCCAAGTCTCCTGCCTTCGAGCATATTTCAGGTTTGAGCTCTCTTTTTACGCCCCATTATCTGCACTATAGTTTACAAGGTCAGTAAGCTTCCGCATTTCTTTGCTGCCACGATTCTGAGACTGAAAGGTGGCTGTCGAAAGCAACGGCCGTTCCTCGAGATGGAAGAGCTCGAGAACCCCAAACCTAGGCGAGTCACGTGACGCAGTGAACCCTGTGGCGCATCAGGTGGTGCTTTCGGCTGAACGACTTGAAGCAGCTCGAGCACTGGTACGGGCGGTCCCCGGTGTGGCGCCTTTCGTGGTGCAGGCGGTTCGTCGGATAGTCGCTGCTGTAGCTGCAGTAGCGGCACGGGTACTTTTTGACGACCACATAGTTTGTCCGCGCCGCCGGGGGCTGCGGCGGAACATTTCTTTCCGCCCACGACGACATGCCTGAACGCAACGAGACAAAGGCACTGTCAAACGAGAGCCAGACGACCAAGCTGCGACGCAAGCCCGAGATTGTATTCTAGGAGTTCTAAGGGGTGCCGGGCTTTGCCGGTCGAGTTACCAATAGACGGCTCGGGTCTCATACTTCTACGGCGATCGTGGCATAGCTCGGATGCATGCTCTTTCAAGGTATAACATATTGCACCTATGGGTACGAAGCGCTTCAGTGTGCCTCTGGTTTTGTGAAACCAAAATAAGGTGGATTTCTGGACCGACGAGTCGTCATTTTCCGCGGATGTGTCGTATTCGGTGGTGGACATGTTTTCATACTTTCGGCGCGTGCTACGGAATTAAGTAAAAAATTAAATCGGGAGATTACGTCATCAAATATACCTACTCAAATCCACCTGAGAGAATAGCTTTCCCCCAAGACCCAGCTGTGCTGCGGGAAAGCGTCCGCCAAAACATCCCCTCCATGATTGTCTTTTTGTCGCAGTGCGTTTATCATTGCAGCTTTCTAAAATGTTAGCAATTTTCAGGCATTGCCATTTCATTAGACGATAAAGTTGGATACACAGATATTCATTATTTTCTGCTGTTTGAGTACACTTAAAAATATAATGACACACTCAGTTATGTAACTGATTTATACACTCCAGGTCAATACCAAAGTAAAGTTGACCTATTCCCTGGACAGAAGCGTAAAATCTTACAGTCATTAGAGCTTTCACAGTTGTTGAAGCTGGCTAGAGGTGAACTAAGCCCCGTAGAAACAGTTTAGCCAGTTCTACTTGTTAGTGATATCAGCAGCCTCCTGCCTTGTTCAAACACACACACACCACACAAATTCAACATAGTTGCGACCCTTTAATAAGCATCCTATCATTAGAGGAAATGTAAATGTGTGCAAAGTGCAACGTCGGCAAAAGAGCATCACATGCTAATGCATTGTTTTTAACTTAGCACGCATACATACAGAACTATCTGAGAATGTTATGCACACAGGTTCTGCTCTAGCCTTCCTCTCATCCCTCATACAGCTTTTGAAAAGCTGTCTTTTCAAACATGCAACCCTGTACAAGCTAAAAATTAAAAAAAAAGTGGTTAGAATTTATTTATTTATTTATTTATTTATTTATTTATCAGAAGCAGGACCATGGGTCTGTTAAAAAATGACTGATCCCATAAACATTTTTGGGTACCCATGAGCATTTGGTACAGAAGGTACCCGAATGGTACCTTCTGTACCAACTCTCTGTAACTTTTCATCCTACTTTAAAAATACTAGCTAAAAAGTATGGAAACACACTATAGTAACATTCACAGCTTACCATCTAACAAGTTACGATCCTATGCTCATGCCAGCCACCTTTTCTGGCTGTCATCTCAAAAGGACACTTCACCCAGTCACCGCTAGATAACAATGCTTGAGAAAACTGAAAAGCGAAAAGCTCAAATTCATTTTAACCCAGAAAGATAGCAAAGAACCCTATTTATGTAATCCCAGGCACCTCCCTCCTCTTTTACAAAACGCCAGTATTTAAGAAAGTAGGAGCGCTCACCTACCAAACATGCTTAAAACTTGCCTACAAGGTTTGCTCCCTCTCAAATCTTGTCTTTTAAGAACAGCAAGGAAGGGGCTAAGAATAGCATAAATAGGCCGCATACGAATTCATTTTCATAGGCATCTAAAGGCCCGTTCACACTCTTCCGACCGAGCAAGACCGAGAGAGACCAGACCAGCTTTTAGGCCTCTTGCGATCTCTTAGGACCAGCTCCGCTGCAGCACATCCGGTCCTAAAAAGTCGCAAAAGGCTTAAAAACCGGTCTGGTCTCACTCGATCGCAAGAGTGTGAACGGCGCTTTATGTTCTCCACATTTCACAAAGCAAAGTAACATAAAAAGTAATCTCTCGCGCAGGCTGAAATGCACAAGAGCCCCTGGTCCTGCCCATTTGTGAAATTCAGTACAACTTAAGCATTGCAAGGAACCCACACAAATGAAGTCATTTCTAGTAAATATTCAATTTATACAATATTCAAGTCAAGGATATAATAGTTCGCCCAGAACGGAAGAGGTACAAAATGTCTCTGCAGTTCATTTTCCGAAGTTACTTTGCGGAACAACAGCACTAACAGTACTTACTCTCTGTAGAGTTCACGACTTCCAAGATAATGACACGCCCAGATTACGAGCAAGTCACTAGAGGACAATAAAAAGGCATTCCTTTCTCTTTACACCATAGGCACTTGCGCAGTAGTATACACTGATGTCACTGAAACGGGAATGCTAAGAAACAAAATATCCACAAATAGACTGTAGAAGACTGCTGCACAAAATCAGGTTGAATAAAACCACAAACTCCAATGCAATGTGGCATAATTAAACTAATTTCTTAGAATCTACTCACAGTGACATAAATTAATACCTTTCCTGTACATGAAAGCCTTCTATAATGTACTAGTGTGTCAGTTTTGAGGTGGTAATACCATGAGCTGAGTAACACAGGCGTTCTCGCCATTGAATGTCAATATAGATATGATAAATCATGCAAACATATATAGTTCTCATTTTAAATATTATATAAGCCCCATCTACCAATCTTTCCAAAATACACATATAAAGGTTTGTACGAGCTAACCCAAGCAACAAGAATATGATGCACCGTTGAAAAAATATATTTAGGTGTATATACATATGAAGATAAAGATGCAGTACTATCCCAAAGTGCAATGAACTTGCAACAGTCTTAAAACATTGTAATTCCCCCCCCATGCAAAAAAGCCAAAGAAAAAAGCTTTGTTGTGCAAAGCAACACAAGAATAAAAACATTTTGACCTAGATACTATAAAACACACCAAGTTTTTCAGTTGAATGGTGTCACTACAAAGCTAGTCATGTCAATTGCAAGCTAAACAAAATCTTCTGGAACATTGAATGGAATATAGAGAGCTGCCCTCTTGCATATATTAACTGTAACTCATTGAAAGGTATTGAAAATAAACATGGGAGAACTTTTTGATAACAGAAACCTACACGGTACTGTTACAAAGAAGCGACACAGCAAACATCACAAAAGAGTGGAGAGCAAAAGAGACCATATCTGTGACAGAAACTCCCAGGGGCACTCAATCCATTTTTTGTCTCAACATTGCATTTTTGCGACATTCATTCCACCTTTTTGAATACCCCCATCCAAATCGAACACAGTCCATCCATTCATCGATCCACCAGTAAAAGGCGGCTAAAAATACGACAAGCCATAAGCCCTGTAAGCCAAACTGCCAGTCACCTCTGGATTTAGCCGGCTACGGTTGCAAACCCGAACCAGCCTCGACTTCGGCAGCATCTCGCACCGCAGCCACTCGGCGACCCTGGCTACGGATGCGGCCGAAACAAGCTACAGCTACGGATAGAGCTGAAACAAGCTCCGGCTCCGGATAAGGCCGAAACGAGCTACAACTCCGGATGCGGCTAGTTCGAGAAGGCGCCCTGGGTGACCCGGCACCGGTGCTTCTTGAGGTGCTCGTTACGGCTGAACGTGCGGTTACAGTACTTGCAGACGAAGGGCCGCTCGCCGGTGTGGACGCGCACATGGTTGTTCAGGTTTGTCTGATAGTTGGTCGAGTAGGAGCAGTACGTGCACTGGAAGCGGTGCCCGTGCGTCGACTTGAAGTGGCCCTGGTACATCGACAACTGCTGCTGCCGCAGTGACAGCACCACCTGGCGGCCGGACTTCGACAGCAGCGGACCTGGGTGCACGGTGAAAACAAAGTTATGCTAAAGGCAAGCTAAGGGCTCAAAGAAAGCTAAAGAGGCTAAAAGCTAAAGGCAAGACAAAGTTGCTCGACTTCGAAAGCAGTGAACCTGGGTGCGTGGTAAGAACGAAGCACTAAAATCAAAGTTAAGCTAAAGGCAATTTGTTCAAAGCTTCAGAAGTTCGAGACAACCTTTTGAAGGGTGCCTACTGTGACTATTAATTGCACAAGTAAATTAAAAGTTTTCCTCACTTGTAGACACCCCACTTTAGTAAGACAATGCAATACAATAGAAAAACGTGACCAGTGTAAATCAGGTACAAAAGACAAAGTATGAAGTAAAGTGACTGATACATAATTGACTAGTTTCACATTAAAAAAAAAGCCCATTTCAATGGCTTGTACTGCACATATACTCTGCAATTCCCCGACATTTATTTGTTTCCTCTTCAGGTATAACTCAAATAAAACAGTTTTTTTCTTCTTTTCCATACCGTAAAATACCGGGCAAGCGCCCACTCAACCTTTGGAGACAATCGCAAAAAAAATGGGGGATGCATGGGCGCTTGTCCGGTTATCAATTTTACATATAAATGTACTGTGCGTATTTTCTCAGATCTCACAAATTTGGTAATGGGCCCTTAATGTGGAATGGGTGGATGCACGGTACTCTATGGTAGATGAGATTGGAGAGGCAGATGTAGCTGCCAATGAAGATATCTCTTAGAAATGAGAAACAATATGATGGCAGGTGTCCTTCAGCATGCTCTTTAACATTTCAATAATGACACCATGTAGCATGCGTCAGAATCAATTTGAAAAAAAGTCCAAGAGGCATCACCCAAGTCATTCCCAATCGGTGAAATAATAACAAGCTTAGACATTTCCAATAAATATTAGTCAAACAACAACTACCAACTACAAAGGAATGCCCAACTTATATTGCTGGCTCTAAAACACAATGTTAGGGCAAGCAACTACCACCCCACCAGTAAGCTAAGTTGAAGACAGAACATCTGATAAACACCACATGGCACGTGCCAATTTTGGGCTACAGAAGGCACAACCATAACTGCACTGCATCAGATTTAAACACCTTCGCCTTATCTGAAGAAATTAATAAGGAACTCAACAAACAGAACAAAAATGACCTGCATGCATTATGCTTCTAGACATAAAAAGAACAATCTCTTCCAACAAACAATCCCAAAATTGCAAAAAAAAGACCAACCAGAGTCAACAATTTCCAACACACAAACTACATGCCCAGTGGCAGTTCCTGATGGCCAAATGCCGGCATGAACGATTTGCACGACCGCATCATTTCTCGCAAGGTCCTTTAGCAGAAGGAATCAGTTTCAGTGGCCGCAAACACCCCAAAGGGGCATTGCCAAGACAGCCTCATCACCAACCGAGTCATCATTCTTCTGCTAAAGGTTCTTTTTATTCAAAATAGCCCTTCTCCTTTATCACATCCGTCCATCAGTCATTTACAGGTCCAAAATCACGGTCCAATGCCTTGGTGAGAGTTTCGTGTGTCAGAGATTGCTGCTTACTCGCAGGCTTGAAATAAAAACGGAGAGCAAGCAACGCTCACATTGTCAAAACCTGCCCTCTTGCAGCGCACTCAAGCTAACCTAAGCACAAACAGTCATTCGTAATGCGGGTGCAAAGACAAGCAACAAGATGTGCCAGTTAGTGGCAGTATTAGTGTCTCAGTTGCGTCTTAGTCAAGGGCTAGTGTAAGTGGGTCTGTAGAGTAAACAAGCAGCCCGATATCCTCGCAAGTGGCAGCGAGAAGAAAAACAAAATGGGGCCCAACACAAAAAGCGTAATTTTACAAAATGCCGAGGCATGGCGTTTTATTGGGATAATAGGCGCACCAACCTACACACGTGGAAAGGTCGCCTTGCATAGTCATGCCGAAGACACCGATCGGTGGGATTTCAGAATGCTTAGTATAGCGAGGTCTACCAGCCGAAAGTAAATGCCAAACAATGTGTTGAGGTGCCTAGTGCATGTTATTCCTGAAAATAAAAGCTGAGCGTGTTCGACGAATGTAATGCAGCACTCGTACATCAACGGTAGTCGCTTGGCCTTCCTAACCGAAAATACAGGGAGACAACCACGAAAAAAAAAAAGGATAGTTTGGGGTGCGTGTAAAATAAAAATTAGTAACAATATCACTTCTTGAGTAAAGGGTAAACAGAGTGTTGACATCCCTGCAGTATATATGTAAAAATGCAACTTCAGACCCGTGAAGTATCCACATAAAGTAAGGAAGAGTGACATACAAATTGTGAACACAAATTTCTGTTACTTGAGTGCACCCATATTTTAAAAATTAACTTGATCTTTCTGACAAGCAAAACAACTACAGCGTAAACATTCTTGAGACCCAAGGGAACATATTTACAAAAGAAATCATTCACTGAGGTAAAAAAAGCCCCGCAGCAAGTTTATCCTGAAACTTTTGTTTATGCATCAGCTTGTTTCAACCTCCCCATTTTGAACAGGGACTGCAGTTTCCTCAATGTTACAGACACAAAAATGTGTGAACAAAGACGTAATGATAACAACCGCCATCAGTCAACTTAATACTTTGCCTAACAGTATGCGTCCCGTAAGTAGCACCATCTCTGAGGTCTGTGCCTAAGAGAAACACTTCGTAACTTTCACAACTTAACAAGTATCCTTTGAAGACGTCCTTCCAAGATGGCGTTCCTTTTTAACTGTGCTTGGAAGAGGGGTGCATAGGTGCAACTAACACTTCGAATGGAATAAAGGAGCACGTAAAGCACACCGTGATAAGTGAGGTGAGATGAGTGACAGTTCAAGGAACTTAGAAAACACACAAAACAAGGGACCAAACGGGACATTGCTCATAATGTGTTATTAAATAATATGTATATAGGAACTTAGTAAGATGATACAAGGATTGCACAAAGACCACACATAAAAGAGAGATTCTGTTCAAGCAACGGCGCACTAAATTATTAAGGGATCACTCGTAATCTCCATTGATTTTCGCCTTCTTCGAACCAACGCCAAAACTTATAGGAACGGAATGGAATTAGGGCCCTGGACACGGTCAAACCTCCTTTACTCCATGGATATGTTGGCCAACGATGCAAGGTGCACAATGGCAAGGCGCTGCCGCAAACGCCAACGGAAAACGTCCGACGAGCTATGCCTTCAACTTAATTACATCCGAGCCTAGGAACCTCCAAGGCTTGTGCGAATGTGCATGTCCTTTACACTAAGTCCTTAGTTAAAAGAGCTCCATTACCGGTTCACGCTGTAAACTAGAAGGGCCAAATGTTCAGCATCAGCGTTTTTAAAACAAAATTTAAAACCATTAAGGGCTAACTGGAATGACATAAACATGCATCCTAAAAGAGCATCAGCGTTTCAGGCAGGAAGCCTAAAACGCCGATTTGTGACCGCATCTTTGCATTGTTTCGTGCCGTCTCCGCTGCATCACTGCACAAGAGCCAGACTTTTTTGGCTACCCAAGGGCAAACAATACGAAAGTGTGCTCTCTCCCCCCCCCCCCCCCCCCCTTACACACACACAACACAATGCCACTGTCGCAATGACAACACAGTCTGTCCTAACGCATTGTGTGGACCTGCACCACATGCTGCAGAAACTGCATCTCTCGCGTGAAAGTCTCTCCACATTGTGAGCAACTGTAGGGCCTCTTGGTTGGCTCGTAGCTCTCCGGCGCCGGCCTGGGAGCCGGCCCAGAAGCCAGTCCGGGAGCCAGCTTCTGAGCCGGCTTGGGAGCCAGGCTGGGCATCTCCGACGGCTTCGGCGGTATCGGCTTCTCCGGCGGCTGCGGCCGTGCCAGGCAACTGTGCTTGATCATCTGGATCTTCTGGATGAACCCCTTGCCGCAGTCGTTGCATTTGAAGGGACGCTCGCCCGAGTGAACGCGGATGTGGTGCTTCAGGTTCGTCATGATGTTGGTGGAGTAGTGGCAAAGCTTGCACTGGAACTTCTTGGGTGCGAAGCAGTCGTCTGCTGCACGACCGTGCCCGAAGCGACTCGTGGCCACCACGAAGTGGCCGTTTCCAGACGGGCGAGAGAAGCGGAGCGCTGCGGGGGTGGGGAGGCCACAGGGTTTTGAGGAAGAGGGTTGGGAGGGGGAGAGAGAAAGGGTTATGCTTTTAAGGGAGGGCCTCTGTGTCTCGCTCTCCCTCTCGTGCGAAACGCAATGAATATGTTTCAGGCGGCTTTAATAACGCCCGAGGAGAAATGTGCCGTAGAATGCATGCAACATGGAATGAGAATGCTCAGTCACAAGTCTGTTTAAAAGTACCGATAAGAAAGCCCTGCACGAAATCAACTTTTAATGTTCTGGACTGCATGCAGGACTTGTACGGAAGTTTTGCACCTTACTCAAGGGATTCCCGTGAATTAACCTCAACTTGCGAATACTAGCTAGCAAGTTGTGACGACTCGCAGAGCCCAGGTAGCTTGCGAAGTATACTTGATTCACCCCTAAGCTGACGGGGTGGTGGAAGCGGTACACTTTCCGGACCAATCCATTGCCTTCTTTTCATCGCCTAACTCCGTTCATTTGTGCGGAGGCATGACCACAAGGCAAAAGGTTATTGCACGACTGGTTCAACGAGCACACAGTTTCCACCACCTGTCAGCCTAGGGATGAACAGCGTATAGTAGCAGAATAAAATTCTAAACTGGAACATGGCAATGAGATGCTTTTGACAATAACACTAAAATGAGATGCAAAAAAAAAGGTGTACGTTTTGATAATTTCTATTAGAGCTCGAACAAATGCAACATGTGTTGCGGTCCAGGTAAAAACATTGAGAATGCCTACGGCTTCAAAGCTTTTCGGTTAATGACTGACATGCTTTAAAAAACTCACCAGCAGAGAAAAAAAAAAAATTATGCTCTTGTTTACACTATTTTCTTACATGGAACTTTGTAGTCGTCCAACGGAACTAAAAGTGATAGAAGACACTGCCACAGACACGGAAAGAAGACAAAATAATGCACTCAGTAATGGTGCCTTGTTTTATGTTTTAGCAGTCCGTAGCAAGGTAAAATCAGTAAAAGTTTCACCTCCAAGACGAGCTCGTCGCGTCTCATCGCACTTTGGCTGCGCACGCTCGAGAGGCTCTGAAGCATTATCAAAGATAGGAAGCCCATGCTGGAGGTGGAGCTTTTACTACACATCTTACGATGCAGCAGACATTAGACTACCTATTCATCTTCGTGTAGTCGAGCTTAGTCAAGAAATTATACTACCGTGAAATATCGAGCATCCACCCATCCCACAATACGCACCCACCCCTCAATTTCGTAACATTTGAAAATACACATAGGACATATCTTTACATACTGGTGACCTAAGGAGCGCCCATCCCCCAGCTCCATTCAAATATGCCCAAATTTTGAGTAGGCGCTTGCTCAGAATTTTATGGTGCACTCAAAATTAAGAGGAAAATCTTTGCTTCTAAGACATAACATTGATAGTCCATACGTAAAAACTTCATACCTAAAAAAAACACAGCTGAGGAAGACTAGAGGCATTTATGCCCAAGCAATGTCCTACAGTTCTATTAAGAGTAGGTATTTCTTTTTTTTATGCAATTATAAAAGGAGACACCCGAAGTAGGTTGCGAAAGTAAAAAGTCATAAAACATTTAGGGGAATTTTAACGCAGCTGGGTCGGAAACATTGTGTGCCACAAGAACACTCCAAACAGCTGCAACAGCCCTTGGCATCAATGGTAGCAGAATTGTGTTTGGTTACCAACACTGCACACAACAATTAGTACCATGTCATCTAACCGACAGTTAACATGCGTTTTTCTTCCAGAAAGTGTCCGAAGTTACACAGCAACAGACACAACTCTGCAATCTCAGGGGACAAAACGCCACAGGTTGCAACCATCGTCATCATAAGTGCCACAAAAACAGCGCAATCACATGGGAATGCAAACGTCGAGGTTTCACTCGAAAATGCATTTGGAGAGGCATTGCCACGAAGGGTCTTTCACATTACTTCGGCTAATTAATCGGACAACCACACTCTGTCCACCCAAACAAGAGTTCACACACGCTCTCCACGGTGTTTCTTATTTGTGTCCTCTTGTAGGGCAGTGGCGTTAAAGGGACTGGAAGAAGCGTGGCCCTCTCTCCCGACCGACATGCAAAGTTGTGTGTTCCCTTCCACAACACCTAGTGGGGAGGAAGCAAAACGACAGAAACGGGGGAAAAAAAGGTCAGTACTCCAAGGATTGACACCCTGCGAAATGCATGCATAAACACAACCGTCCCGTAAGGGCTCTGCACACCCAAAACAGTCTCGGTCAATCAAACTCACAACGCAAAGGCTCATGGCCAGAGTTGCTGCTGGGAACTCAAGTTTCGGCATGGTTTTAATCTTACGAAACTGTTAATGGCAAGGTGGGTAAAAGCCCCCTTATGTGACATGGGAACATAAAATACTTTTTTGTACGATTGGTTGCGCGAATGAATAGATAATATAATTTTATAGCTACAATTTTTTTTTTCTTTCTGAAGAAAATAAAGGTGTAATTTTGATCCAGCTCGCACGATGAGATACTTTTTAATAAAAATCAAAGAAAGTATATTCAATGCTTGCAGTCTCAACAACACAGCGTGAACATCAACATATAAAAATAAACTGCTTCAATCGTAGGCGAGCTGGTGCATATTATACATGATGCTGTATGTTCCCTTTTTTTCTTTCTGTCCTCTAACTGTTTTCATGTTCAATCAGAACATCGTTTTGGTGAAGACAAAAATAAGTTATACAAACAAAATCACTGCCAAAATGCCGCATACGGGTTACAAACTTAGGAAGAGGGGAAAAAAAAAGGAAAAAAAATCACCCGAGTTCAGCTCTCAAATCATGCGCTCATGAGAAACCCCTCCGAGATTAGCCCACAAACTATACTTAAGAAAAGTTTAACAAACTTCACGTTTCGATCACAGGCTAGCAGGACAGCTAGCAACGACGACACCTGATGCTTCGGCGACAAAACAAGGACCAACAGTTCGCCGAAGGAACAAGATGCCTAATGCTATGCCACATCGCAGTGGGGCCCCATAATTGGGGGGTTTGGAGGGGTCACTCCCTCCATACGATACGGCCAATTTAACGTCATTTTTTTCCCGTTGCCGTCCGCAAACAGTCCCTTGAAAACTAGATCCACAATTCCGTTCCCGTAAGCAGCTAAGGGCACGGCAGAAAGTGCAAAGGATACGGGGCTGGGACGTCTCGAAGCACTCAACACAAACATAACAAACCCGTCGCTGCACTTCGCCATCTTTGCAACAGTCGCCGTGGTTGCCAACCTCCCGGCGGCGCGTGGGGTCAAATTCCAGGATATCTTTTGTTTCGATTTTGTTTTCGCGATCTCTCGTATTTTTTTGTCCCCTGCTGCGGTCTAGCGAAACTGGACACCGCGTTTCTCGTTACATACTGTGATTACCGGTGTAGCAGATATCTACGACAACATATGTGCACTGCTTGGGGAATCGTCTTTGAGTGCTTTGAGAGGTCCAGCTTCGGCTAGCCCAGTTTCGTCGCGTGCATGTGCACACGCGGCCTAGATTTGAATAAAAGCGCACCTCTCCCCCCATCGAAGCTGTTAAAAAGCGCTATTAAACGATCTTTACAAATTCTAGGGCAAGGGAAAAGTAACCGCAGTCTGAGGCAATCAAACCGTGACACGTAATGTCAATTTTGTTTTTTTAGAAATTGTTTTGATTATTTTAGTGCTCTGCTTCTTGCGCAGGAGTGGGATAATGTCAAAACGCCAAGCTTTTATTAAAAAAAAAAAAAATAGTGGGTAGATCTTAAGGCATCTAGCATTGAGCTCCGCCCAAGTTTCTTTTTAATCTAAGCCAATCAGAACTTGGCATCGTTCTGACGTCACCGCAATCCCTGCGCAAGGAGCAGACGACTGGCTCTCCGCATATCTTGTAGAGTCGTGTTTTTTCTTTGTTGTTCCTTGTTGAGCAAGGTTCGTAGTCTTGAAAAACTGTATTTATTTATTTCAGGTGCCCCACAGCGCCCGTGAGGACATTATAGCAATTATAGTAAAAAGTTAAAAACAAAACAAAAACGCCGCAAAAAATAAGGAAAAAATGTCGAAAAGGGAGAGAGAGAGAAAGACAAAGAGCTTACCATTTTCATTGAAGTTCGATCCCTTACTTGCTGAACACCAGTTAGTGTACCTGAAAGCCAAAACTTCAGGGATGATCAAGAGCACACACAATAATTAATCACTGGGTTTTGCATTTATTTCCCTTCATCGACACAATTTCTCGATCGTAACGTCTTTACAAAACGAAACCAGAAAAAAAAAAAAAAAAGCCGAACATTGGTTTGTTGCATATTGTTTCCCCAGTATCGACCAAAATAAAACATCTATCTATTATGAGACTCGCCCCAACAGTAAAAATCATCAATAACTTAACACCAAAGACAAGCACAGTTGAGAAACATTCATACGAGGCCAAAAGCATACATCCAAATACATTTGCTTGCTCTTGCAGAAGCGCAGACTACACCTGCTAAAGGCGTGGGCTCTCAATAAATAGCACAAAGCAGCCATCCCATATAAAAAAGAAATGGAGAAGCCCGCACTATTGCCGATACAACAAAGTGGAAGTTTCTCGGGCTGGTACACTTTCTGATGTATAAATGTCATATCTTCAAAATAGGTGCAAGTGCAGCCGTTGTACACGCTTACAGTCAAAAAGACATCAAGCTCGAGCATCCTATTTGTAGTGAGAATGAAGTTCCCCTGCAGGCAATTCTGTAAACTGCAAGTAGCAATGAAACTCGCATGTCATATCTGCCGTTTTGTGAAACAGCAAGAGCTCCTGGCATGAAAGTTTCAAAGTTCCATTACTTGACCCTTCATTAAAAACTATACAAAAAAAAACATTTCATTTTGCATTATGCATACAAATGCACGTCGAAGCCAAGCACTGTACGGTCAAATACAGACGACTTCAGGTGCCCAGGACCGGTTTCGATACTTCTTACAATACTTTTTTTGTCCCTTCTATCTGCCGTTGTGGGCAATTCGGGCCAACGTTGATCTAGCGACGAAGCGACGCCCAGCAGAAGCAGACGATGCTTCATTCACGCCACCATGACGACACATCGTCATGAGGTGGCACCACCTTCATGCTAGAACCGCCATATAAGCTACGCTTCAGTGTAACGACATTTCAGCCATCTTGGTGCTCAAAATCATTGTTGCCAGTTATTGAAACTTTACCCAATATCGCAGGAAACTCTTTTCCATCCCCCAGAAATGTTAAAATAGTTTGCAACAAGGCAAACTGATGTTGCCAGAGTTTCCCAATGCTGTACCTAAAGCTCAGGAAGCCGCATTTCTAAATCGTAACGGCGTCTGCACCAAGCACCAAAATGGCGGCCCCCACGAAAAATCGTCGAATGAAGTGTCGGTACTCTAAGGCCGGCCGTAGCCAACGTAGCGACTCCACTTCATGCCGATTTCAGGCAGGCACCCATCGAGCGTACGTGAATAAAAAAAAGCGACGGAGACATGACGCCATTTCAGAACGTCGAAAAGACGTGCAGCCGCTGATGACGAGTCAGCATGGTGTCTGTCGGGAAGCGTTCGGAGCAGTAGTTGCACTCGAAGGGCTTGTAGCACGGCTTGAGCGGCTGGCTGCAGTGCTTCTCCAGCTGCTGCTGCGTCGTGAAGCCCTTCTTGCAGGAGACGCACCTGTAGGGGCGTTCGCCCGTGTGCGTCCTCACGTGGCGCACCATGGTTGTCGAGTAGACCGTCGAGTAACTGCAGAACTGGCACACCAGCTTCGGGGGAGCGTCTCCTGGAGCCTTACCTGCCGGGAGAAAGGGGGCAAAACGGAGAGCAGGTATGCGGCTGAGGTATAACAAATGAACCCAGTACAATTGACGAATTACACCGGAACTGCAAGCTCTCGTTATTAAGCGAATGTTGTTGACCGCTGGTTTTACAATCGTCAATTCGAACCAAACTCTAAAAGACGGACGAAGCAAGCAGAAGCCGACTCCATAAACTCAAGTGAGCAATAGGAAATCAATCTGGAACAATATTTTGCTTGATGCATAATGAGGTCAGCTCGTTTTACAGATGGCTGCAGCATGGTGCCTTCAGTTTTGTGGAACCGAGAATCCCGTGCTTCCGCATATGCTATGAAGTTGACTGAAACGACAAAAGGTATGAGCACTCATCATCTTAAATTGGGCAGTCCAAGCAGCTTGGAAACATTTTACAAAAGCTGTGTGCTTGAGGGAGTTGCACTGTAAACAAGTGGCCGCAAGTCCAAGATCCCAAGTTTTAGGAATAGCTTGAACAGAATGCTCAATATTTTCAGTGTACAATGGCAAAGGTATGCCAGGACAGCACATGAGTCCACAGGACACAAGAAACAATACATACAAGTAGCAAATGATAAGGTAGCACATTTATTTTTGCACCTATAAAACTTACACAGGACACAGAAAAAAAAAAGTGCAAAATTTTCTGCTTAAGGCTATATACAAGGTTTGAATTGCCTGTACTCGTAGCAGAATTCAAAAAACATCAATCATTGCAGCCATACTCTCCCATAACCCACTATAAACACTTATCTGGTATGACAACCCAAGATTAAAGACTGTAGTCACGCTAAAACAGTATAAAAAGAAGCAGAAAAGTTCAAAATGTCTCGCACTATTTCAGCTATTTTGTTTCAGGCCAGGCTCAGGCGATGGTAACAATAAGAGTCCAGCTACATTGTATAATAATGCACGCACTCTTATGCTCTGCCTAACTTCTGTCTCATATTGCTTGCTCTCTGCACACTCCAAACAATTTTTCGGAAGCGAGCAAATTCGCAAAACTTCCACCGATGCAGCATTATTTGAATCCCTCTTTAGATGTGCACCGTTGTCTCAAGCTACAGGGGAGTGCATATTCCAGATCAGGGTATGGTTTACATTCTTGAATTTTTCGCACAAACCATACAGTCACAACAAAAGTTTTCTGCATTCCCAGTAAATGCAAGTCCTGAACATCATGCACGCTCAATTTTTTTCTTCTTCTACGACGGCGTCAACAAAAAACACAATCGCATCAATCAAAAATTGGGACAGTAAAAAGGTAGCTTCATGACACATTATGACGCAGCAAATGCTCGACACTGGGCACAAGAAAGTACGGGACAGCTACCCATCCAGCCCGATGGCCCGACGTCTTTAGTGACGGCCCCCATCAAACGAAATCACTTCGCTTCAGTTGAACAACAAAATATCCTCATCCTTCCTACAGCAGGAAAACAAAAAGTGTCGCTGCAACCTTAGTGACGGGGTGCCGAGGAAGCCACATTTCCTACGTCTCTCCCGACTGCCACAATCACAGATGGGACGCGAACGGCAGGGAGGCGTTTCAGTTGTACTGCCACCGGTGCGAGCTTTCTACTTTCGACGACGCTTTAACTTCTGACTGCACTTCGAGCGAGCGTGCGTGTGCAGCTAAAACGCACGCACGCAGGCTGGGTGCCCACAAAAGATGCCTTGCCATTCTCGTACCGTCGACGACTATAATTAGTTTCGTTTGCCACTGGAAGACGGACTGCAATTCGAATCAAAACGCGACAGCTGGAAGCTCCAAAACGCGAGGACCGGCGCCAACATTCGAACACCCTGTAGAGTAGCCGCATTACACACAATCCAAGTGTATACGGACAGTAGATCGTACCGCAGAGAATCCAGCCCCGTTTTACGGGCCTCGTGCTAAAACGCTACGTTCTGGGCACGTCGGATGCGCCGCGAACACCGGTGGCTGCCATTTTCGGTTCAGACTCGCCCACTGGACATGGTCCACACGTCATTTCGTGGCAGTGGTACGAGCAATAAAGCAATACAACGATCGATAATCGAAGCGAGCTCAACAGAAACAACTAGTGGACCCCAGACAATGAATGCCAAGGTCCACCTGCAATGAATGCCAAGGTCCAAAAAGACGAACCACAAAACTTTCTTTTTTTTTCCCCAAGAAATGAAACACAGTTTACGTAAGTCTACATAAAGGTGCACGTCGTGCGACTACGTAAATCGAGAATTGTCTCGACATACACTAAACGACTAACCAGCCTTTAATCGCAATGTTCACGTAGACCTTACACAAATTTCCTAGCAGTACTGCAAAAACATCCAAAGCATCCCAACCTACAGCAAACGCCAAATCCAGTCACTGCCTTTAAAAAAAGGAAAAGAAAGACAGTACGGCTTTGTTACGTTTTGACCTATACATCCATCACTTTTCTCCGTTCAGAGTCTGAGAAGCTACAAATTAAAATAGAAGAAATACTCAGAATTTAGGAGCTTCAGCGCGGTGCAACTCCCAAAGCTCCGCAAGACCAAAACCGACACGAAACACGGGCTCCAACTTGGATGTTCATTCTTTCTCGACGTCTGCCCGTCATACACCTCCGCAACTAGTCCGTGACAATACGAATGCGTGGTATAAAGACAAACGCATACACTGCACATCCTTGTATCGTTGCGCTAGCGTCGACGAGATGCCCGCCGCGACGCGTCCCGCGACGCTTTGGGCTCAGTGCCGCTTCTGCAGACAGAAATGGTTCACCATAGTGTGCTTCCTCGCAAAGGTCTTCCCGCAGACGCGGCAGTGAAAACCATGCTCCCTCCCGAGACCCGGCCTTGCAACCTGAGACGCCGCCGAGCCTCGCGGTATCCGAAGCCCGCCTACGCGGGAGAAAACGAACGGCACAGGTTTAAAATGCTTGGCATCCCTGGCTTTGGCTCGCGTCACATGCGAAAAGGATCGCAGACACCCACGGAGCGTCGCCTTTTTACTCCTTGAACCCCTTGCTCGGGAACGAGATGTCGAAAGCGCGGTGCCACCCCCCAAAGGTGAGCACAGAACCAAAGTCCTACTATACTTTGTTTCATGTCAAGCTCGACCGCAGCCGCATTGCAATTCGACAAGGCCAATCAAGCGATGGAAAAAGTGCATCGCTGTGGCGTCCGTTGTCTTTGCGTTTGCCGTCACTGGCTGAACCAGTTGCGCGCAAAAAAGGGCACAGGATCGCAACACATTTCCTGCGCACGATTGATTTGGCCGGTGATGGCGGACGCGCAAAGACAACAAACGTAGCAACGATGCGCTTTTGCTGCTGCTTGAATGGCTCCGTCGAATCGCAACGTTGGTAGCGGTCGGACTTGGTGTGAAACTGCATAAAGTATGATAACGAGCTTAAAGAGTTATGGGAAATGCTGGTCTCCCGTTGATAGCATCCGATCTCGGGTTAAACTGGCAAAACCGCCGTTTCAAGAACCCCAAAAAATTAGAACTCGGCAAATTACTGCAAGAGCTGAAAATGACAATTGTAGACTTTGCCAGCCTCTACATATGCTCAAAGTTTGAAGAAGAAAACCTGCTTGCGAGCAGACTCGCAAAAAAAGAAATAAAAAAGTTGTTTTTTTCTATGCATGTTCTTGACTAGTGTTAAGCTCGATTACCACCCAAGCAGCACACATGTCTTATGAACATGCATGGGACATCCCTTAAATGTTAGGACATCCTAAAGACATTCCCAGGACTAGATGTGCTGCTAGGGCACCCCCCGTTCCAACTCCCGGAAGCATGCGGACGTAAAAGAAACGATCAGGTACCGCATATACCACAAGCACCGACACAAGCAAACTGACCATCCAGCAAGAGGCATCGTGGTTCAAAAGCGCGACATTGTGACATACCCTGTGAAAGTGGGTGACTTTGCTCCCCGCTTATGCTCTAAAAATTGCCTGTATGCGTGCTTAGGCATTGACTCATTAAAATGAAACGCACAGTGACAACATGGTGCGAGAAAAAGAAAGAAGCAGCACTTCGTGACCAGCTAATAGACAACACGAAAACGAAACAAGCATGACACGCAATGTTAGAGACCTTAGCTGCCTCTGTAACCCAACATCTTAGTGCAGGAATCGGTAAATGAACTGTCTGGAGGCTAAATGATATGTCGCAGACGTTGTCAAGGAACAATTTAGCATTCTGCTGGACTCAAATGCTGAAACAATTGTCCTTGTTTCCATTACTAGGTCACAAAAAAAGAGATTACCTTGTGACCACCGTTAGCAATGATAACAAAAAATAAGCAAAGACACAATGATAAAAGAAGAAAAAAAACAACCTAATTGTTCTGTCCTACACTTTGTGCAGTTCCACATTGTTCCTTCTTTGATGCTCCATTCATATTAAAGAGTGAGACAATGTCGCTACGTATTGGCACATGATCCCAGTTCGGGATCAAGAACATACAAAGAATTGGCTGTGCGAGTTCGAGCAAAAATACATTGGTGCGAGGCGAAAGTTCACTCGTTCTAAACTCGAAAAACATTGTTTCTCCTTTTCAGCCCTCCGGAAGTAGCCACCAAAAACAGCTTCAATAAACATTAACTAGAATATGTCATGCTAACGTATCATACTGAAAAAAAGAAAAGATTGTCCCTGTAATTGATTTTAAAGCAAACTCGGATGTTCCTTCAAGACACATTCCCACTTGCGACTCGCAGCAGTTGTGCGACAATTATCTAGTCGTCGAGCAGCGGTTGTGGTCACCAAACCAATTGGTTGGAGTGTTCACTTTTTCGGTCGACTCTTTAGCCAGGTCGCCACACCCGAGTCAACCAGCAGCACCTCGCAAGCAACGTGGCAACGCATCACAATTCTCTACGTCCAGCGTTTTATGTTTGCAAGATGCCTTGGTTTGTACAACAGCTGCCATGGAAGTCTAGGCGGAGTCTCTTAAAGCTACTAAAAGCACCCATTTCTTTGTAACAAGCAGCACCCCGATTTATCAAAGTGCCCAAAAAAGGACCTGACCCGACTTTTAAGCAAATCAGGGCCACTTTCAGCTTGACTGGTACGTACATAATGGCATAAGCTCAAATGAGTGTGCGTTGATTTAGTGATCATGGTTCCATTTTATGGTTTCAAATGACACGAGCCAATATTATGCAAGTTTTTCTCTTGTGAAGGCGACAAGTGCGACAACCAAAATGGGAAAGTGGCAAAATGTGAATCTGCGCAATGGCACGAAATTGCGGAAGAGACGACGGTTCCCAAGAGCTTTCGAGGAAAGACTCAATGGCCATGAATCACCGATCACGCGCTCAGGTGTAAACACTGGCAGTCACTAGTCCAGTTGCAGAAACAAACATATCTAATGCAGGCAATCTCTTATGTCAAGAGGTTTAGAAAAAACTTAATTAAAGCAAAGCATAAGCAAACCGAAAACCCTTAACAATAACCTCCAATAAGACAATGCCAGTTTGTCACCTAACTCGAGCTTTGAACACAAAAATCGACCACCACCACATTAACTAAAAAACGGCAAAAACGGTCGACCCAAAGCCGGCACAAAACAGACACAAGACCGACAAACCCTACCAAGTGCCGACGAAGAACCGACTAGAACCACTAAGTGAGCTACGCCTAGAGTACCGGCACTCCATTCCTCGATGTTCTCTGGGCGCCACCATTTTGGGGCTTGGTGCAGAACAAGCACAATAGGCAATCGTTGCGGGTCAAAATGCGGCTTTTCGGCGATTTCGGATCAAGCTTCGGACGACTGGCAGCAGTGATTTCGAGCACCAAGGTGACCGAGGTGTCGTTACTCTCGAGCGCAGCTTGTTTACACTCTGTCTCGCATAAAGTCCATCCGCAGCCAACGCTACGGCCCTATGGAGCCGATCTGGCGGCACCAAAAGTGCATCGTCATTGCGCTCGTTGCCTTTGCTTTTTTTTCATCACCGGCTAAACCAATCGCGCACGGACAAGAGTCGGATTGCCTCGTATTTACTCTGCGCGATTCATTTAGCCGTCAATGGCAAAAGCGCAAAAACGACAAGCTCAAGGACGGTGCACTTTAGGCATTGCTGGACCGGCTCCGTCGCATTGTAGCGTCGGCAGCAGTCGGACTTGGAATGAAACAGACTATGGTGGCTCTAGAACCAACGAGGGGAGCCCATCAGAGCGGGCACCACGAGTTCTTGACGTGCTGCAGCGCGTGGCTCTCCAGGTTCTGCTTTGTGGTGAAGCCCTTGCCACAGGTGGTGCACCGAAAGGGCCGTTCGCCGGTGTGGGTCAGCATGTGGCGCTGGATGTTGGTCGGGTAGTCGGTCGAGTAACTGCACAGGCTGCACGTGTACCTCTTCTTGAAGGAGCCCGCGATGGGCCACGAAACGGTGGGCGGGTGCGGTTGCTTGCCGCTCCACTTGGGCGCCGCGCGCTTGGCGGGCGCAGCGCTGGATGCCAGCATGGACGCTAGGCTCGGGTGGCCTGGGGGTGGGGAGGGAAGAGGGGAACGAGAGGAAGAAAAACACGGTCCTTTTTATTTCCTCCCGAGAAAACACAGACGTCGTCGAGAAGCGGCAAGAGCAGACAGGGCCCGAAACATGTGAATGGAGACACGATAGGCTCGAAGGAGCCCCCGACAACGGCTGTCAATAGACCCTTATTGAAAGTGTGTGCACTCCCGCATCTTCTGCGTAGGTCGTCTGAGGCTGTCGTAATTTGGTCGTGTACCTCGAGCGCGCTCTGGACACGAGCGCAGGGGCTCCAGGTTAGATGCTCGGCGAGGAAGTCAGCGAGATCGCAGACTGCCGCGATTGGCCAGAGCCGCGCTTGACCTTGGTGCTGGCCAATCGCTGTGTTCGGCGGCCTCGTGGATTTTCTCGCCGAGTGCCCGACTAGAAGCTCCTACACCAGTGCTTAACGTGAACTTGGACTTAATCGCTCACTTTGCACAGGGAGCGATGCCCAAAGTATGGCTGCCACAACTGTTGCTCGGCGGACTTTTGAAGGGGGTCTATTGCAACCGACCGAACTGCAATTCATTGACAGAGACCGCCGCCAAAACATTTTGGCGCTTTCAAGTTTGCGACAGTCCTCAAATTGGTAGCAAGACCTGCGAGAAATCTGAGCGGTTGATTGAAAGTACTGCATTGTGCCAGAGCGAGTCTCGCATATTAAGTGAAAATAATGTGTGTACTCATAACCTGAAAACACCTCATGTAACAAACCTGAAAACACCTCATGCAACATTAGATGCATAGAGATCAGGGATGACCCCCTCAGGATAGAGGTTTGCACCGCGACATGCCTCCGATCTTTCTCCATTTTAATTTGATTCCAAAAAACTAAACAAAAAACATTGCATGGTGCATATTGCAGCCCTTCAGCCCCTTGCAAAAGAGATCACACATGAAATAATGGCAACATAAAATAAAACAATGTCTACAAAGACTAGATTTTTTTTTTCCCCCTCAGGGAAATATGTGTTTAGCAAACTTTTTGCACGTCTTGCAGTGATTAAGTGGAAAAGCAAAATCTATACTCCAGCCAGTCCCAGCAGTCGGCTTGGAGTGACCATAAACAATGCGTAACTCGGCTTATATTTCCTAAAAACAAGAACACAAACTACAGTTTAGACAAAGCTGAAACGAACAAAAGATAATACAGAACACATAAAGAACTAGTGACACAAGAAACATGCGCTAAGCTCCATAAAAACGGCATATTCAACGTGTCATGTGCAATCTGTAGCACAGGGTTTGATCTTTGCTCTCGTCTATAAAGATTTGCAATCCAGACTTGAAACACAAGTACATATTTTCCGAACAAGCACCTTAGCATTGCAAAAATACAATTAGCACACAAAAAATTATGAAGTGCGGTCAAATATTGGCACTTTCTTCATTTAGAGCAGTTTGTTTAAACACACTTCCATAATATGGCTCAGAAGAAAGTGAGGCAAACAATGATTGACAATACAATACTCTTCAATAGACTCTAGACTTATTCTCAATGTACTCAGGACTGGCTGAACAAAATAAGTCTATAGCAGCCACAAAAAAATATTTTTTGATTGCTATGGAAACCGACCCTGTGTACCAAAAAAGCGAGAACGGAATGCAGAGATTGTACGAGAAATTTGATCAAACATTTGTGAAAGAAAAAAATCACCAGGCAAGAATGCAAACAAGTTTGAAATAAGCTTGATATTTGCTGTTGGGAAACTGCACTCCCCACCTCACAACAACAGGTTACGAAAGTGCCGAGGCAACTGCATAATCAAAAGTTGTTGAATACGCCTTAATAAGGACGAACAACAAATCAAACTTGCTCATAGAACAACAGATCTACACTGACGCCTCTCACAAACAACAAACGGTTGGTCCTTGACGTCAAAAAAGATGCGGCTCCGATCCGAAAAGCCGGCCCTAACTCGTCCGGGTTTCTCTGCGTCGTCCGCTTCCCTCTGAAGCATGGTTGCAGACGGTCGTCTGCAACTGTGCTTTTCAGAACGAGGCGGGAGCTGAGCAGCATTCGTCGTCTTCGTCGTCCGTTTTGCAGACGACAAGGGGCTGCGGCGGGAAGTCGTCCTCGTCTTCCGAATCCGTGAACTGCACGACGAGTCCATCACCGCCACCGCGCCTGACAGGCACCGGTCGTCTGCTCGGAGGGAGCGAAAGGTCGCTGCCTTCGTCACACGATGCGTCCCGGCTCGGCGACTCGTGACCGTGCCAAGAGGCCGCCTCCCACTTGCGCTTGAGTCCAGCGAGGTGCCGTTGGGAGACGTGCTCTTGCACCTTTGCCACGTTCGCGTGCGTGAAGGAACAGAAGTCGCAGCCCCAGAGGCCCACTTTGCGTCCAGGGGTGTCGCTCTCGCGGATTCGGACGGAGTAACCTGCCGAGGAAAGGGAGAAAAAGACGGGAATGACGTCGAAGCGGGCACGAGGCGCGAGCCTACGCTCTGTTCGCCCCCAACCTGACACTGCGGTGCAAGCCAAGTGCTCGTTGGTCGCATGTCTACCTTTCGTTGTGCGATCACGCTTCTGCCCGTGCCCACGCACAGAGAGCGGAATCAGGTGATGAAAGGAAGGCAGTTGATTGGTCCAGCGAGCACTATTGGCCTAGGGGCGAACGAAGTACAGGCAACTGGCACAGGCAGCGTAACCACTGGTACAAGTTCCATCGTTCAAGCTGCTCAGCTCGTGCAACGAAAGCATGGATTGAAACAAGAACTCGGGGGAGGAGGAAAGAATACTCGAGAGAACATGACCCTCTGGCAACCACAAAATGTCTGAGACAACATAAAACAAAAGATCAAGAGGTTGTTCTTTCAGCACAGAGATTCAACTCATCTTGGGTAAAACCAGCTGAACAAAGGAAGGAAAGTGACAAGGAGAAAAGATTGGCGAACCGACCGCTGGACTACCAACTGTTTTTTTATTAAAACTTTCTCTTCTTCTATTAATTCATCTCCGATCATCCTTTTTCTTTTTCTTTCTCATTGCTCTTATTTTTGCTCTTATTTGGCTTATTTTTTCCCGATTTTTATCAATTACCCACGAAGGGTGCCGTGTAGAAAGAGTTTTTCTTTGGCTTGTAAGGTAAGTGAAGGGATGCTCACGCACTTGTCATCTCCTTCGTCGATAGCAAGGGCCTCTAAAACCTCCCTTGCAACCCGGTTTCTATGGTGTCCCATTATGTGAAGATTGTCGAGCTCTGCTGTACACAAGCATGTCCGACAATGGGCAGCTAAATGTCCTGGTCCCGCAAGGTTCCTGAGGTTCGCTGCATGTTCACGTGCTCGGTCGTTAATACATCGACCGGTCTGTCCGATGTAGAAGCGGCCACATGTTAGCGGTATGTGATATATAACTTCCTTTTCACAGGGAGCGTATTGTGTTCGGTGCCTGGTGTTACACTTTTCCTTGGTGTTGATTGGTACCTGATTAATTTTGCGGCACATTGAATAGGCCTTGTTAGGTGCCGAGCAGATGACTTGCACGTTTTGCCGGTTCGCTATCTTTTTTAACTTATGGGTAACCCCGTGAATATATGGTATCACTACAAAGGGTGGTCTGGGTTTTTTTGTATGTTGACTCGTAGCTTTGTTCGTCTTGATGGTGCGGCATATTTTTTCACAGATGGAGGCCATCATAGGTTTCGGGTATCCCGCGTTATGAAGCCGAGACATTTGGGTGTCAAAACTTTGTTGTACTTGATGTGGACATGATTTCTTTAGACTAGCTGTAAGGGCTGAGATGGCCACAGCTTGTTTTACGTTCTTAGAATGTTCCGATTCAAAAGGAAGAAATCCCTTCCCTGATCGTGCTTGATATTTCCAACAAACATGTCCTGTTTTGAATGTCAAAGCTAAATCCAGAAACCGAATGGAATCGTCCACAGGAGTCTCATAGGTGAAGTTTAGACCCAAACAGCTTTGTTGGAATAGTGTCATGGTGGTGTTGAGGCATCCGTCTTCTTTTTCGTTAATTTTTGTGGTGGATAGAATAAGAAAATCGTCCACATATCTAAAGATACCCGCTATGCGTGTATCTTTTAGTACCTTCTGGATGGCTCGTCCACACATGGCAAGAAAAATATCACATAGAAGAGGAGCCACTTGTGAGCCGATGCACACTCCACTCTTTTGCACGTACTGGTGTTCTTGATGATCTACTACAGTCGCTGACAGGTAACATTGTAGGATTTCTAAGAAATGACCTACGCTCATCCCTGCATTATTTTGGAAATTAAAAAGGCCACTTTCTTCGATGGTGGTTTGAATGATTTGTAGGAGGCTTGTGTGGGGAATAGAATAGTACATGTCTTGTACATCTATAGAGAACCCGGAGGCTATGAGGTGTCCCTGTTCTTGAAGGAAGGAAGGAAGGAAGGAATCGGGAAAAAATAAGCCAAATAAGAGCAAAAATAAGAGCAATGAGAAAGAAAAAGAAAAAGGATGATCGGAGATGAATTAATAGAAGAAGAGAAAGTTTTAATAAAAAAACAGTTGGTAGTCCAGCGGTCGGTTCGCCAATCTTTTCTCCTTGTCACTTTCCTTCCTTTGTTCAGCTGGTTTTACCCAAGATGTCTCAGAACCAACTAGCTCAGCTTTTACCCTTAGTAAGTGATTCAACTCAGCACACATCCTACTCAAGTAATAGTGGGAACTCTGAAAAACATTTGTCTGCACATCAGAAAATGGCTCATTTGCATGCAGAGGCACACAGACAGATGTACGACTGCTAAATAAAAAGATGCATTTGCCACCCTAAGTGTATCACACTATAAAACTATAGATTGTGGACACTTGATCCATATAAGAACCAATGACCCAGGGGACTCCTCCTAAGCAGCCTGGCCAATTTCTGCAAAGATAAATCAGAGTCAATGCACCATTCTTCTTAAAGCTTCTGGTACAATAAACATGCACACAGTTTTTTGGGTCAGTTTCTATTAAGGATTCTGTAAAATGATGATAATGTTGTAGCTTTTAAAATTAGAGGCCTGGGTCCACTTGAGAAAAAAAATATTAAAACCCACTTTTATTTCTGAAGTTCACACCACAAAACCAAAAACATATATTTGGAATGTACAATTGAGTTAAGAAACAACTCTTTGCAACCATTTTCTTTTTTCTATTCACAGAAAAATATTACGAATATTAGATTTCAAGCTGGAATGTAGCTGGAGTATGAATGCAGACAAAGAGCAAAACAATTTTTCTGAGCAGCATTCAGCAAAGAAGCCGATAAATGCAATATGAAAAAAGGTGCTACGAGAACCTATACACAACTACAAACTTGTGAACTATAAAGTTGTTAGCAGGTGATGGTTTATAAGCAGGGTCCTGTGTTTTCGGCAAATAGAGATAAAACCGGCATAGCTAAACCCTCGATTCGGTCTTACTGAAATCGGGAAAGCAATGTTTACACCTTTGGAAGTAATCTTCATCAAGTAATTCTGAGGTCTGTGGCCACCCACAGCTTCTAAATAGCAGGGTATAACACTTTAAAAAAGAAAAAAGAAAGGGACCACGGGAATCATAGGTTATTAGTAGCAGGGCTCGAGACCAATCTGGGTAAAGCGAAGGGCACGGTGACAACTCACCACACACTACAATTTATGAACTGTAGATGATTCTTCCTACCGTACGTATCCCTGATCATAAAGTGTACTGTCAGAAGATAGCTGAAGGATTGGGATTAGCTAATTTTAGACAGATAATGGGCCACGCCCCACAACAATGCTGATCAATGGAGAAAAAAAACTCACGTTTAAAGTTATAGTCAAGCAAGTGTAAGAAAAACGTTGCCGAGGCTCAAGGTAGAGCATCATACTTTATAGAAAAAACAGTGGGAGAAACAAAATGTAAAATGACTCTGCACGATTCTGCAGAGAGCAGATTTAGAAGGCGCTTTTCAAGGATCGCACGACGGAGCACCTTGTATCTTCTGTCATCGGTCCCCTCCTGCGAATTTGAGAAGAGGGTACAAGAAAATAGCAAAGTACAGCAAAAAATTACTAACTTTCGCGCATATAAGGACACATGCGCAAACTAAATACAAATAAAAATTAAATAAATTAAACTTTTGAAGTTTTATGAGCTATAATCAGGTCTCGACGCAGCAAAGCTTGCACACGGTAAACTAGAGGCAGAGCGAGGTACTGCCATCGCAAGAAAATTAAAAATAAAGAATCACTATTCACTATTGCCACCTGTCCTAGCACTTGACACTGCGAGGTTAACGTGGGGCAACGAGGACGAAGCATTTTTAGAAATATTCCAAAAAGATCTGCATACGTTACTTGTTAGCTTTTGACGTCCGGCGGAGCTCACGGACGAACTTTGCTTGGGGACTTTTGCGCCGTAAAAACTCCAATCAAGTTTCGGGGAAAGAAATATATATATATAGGTCACCTTGCTCAGTTCCAGAGTGAGCTTGCGCGATAATATATCGACAAATTCTGAATGGCGCTGTCTCTTTTATTCTTACAAAACTGCCTCCGCTTTGACCGTCTAAAAACGCGATAAGATAACCGTTTGTGTAAACAGTAGGGGGCTCGCTTTTAAATTGGCCGACACTGGGCTCGTGCCAGCCACCGCAGAGGCTTTAAATATGAAAATGCTTAAAGCCATACGTTCGCTGTTCCTGGGACGCCGATCCGCGTGGAGATAAGGACTGAAATTCTAAATTAAAAAGCTGGAAAATTGGATCGTAGGTGAAAATTTATGGGCGTGCGGGGACGCTTGTCATGCTGTGGTTGCCAGACGCCTGGCGTAGGGTTGCGATGACTTTAGCGAAATGGGTCCGCGCTGGCGCCAGATTTGAATCTAATGATAGCAACGATGGGAGTATTCACTGAGTATTCACTGGCGGGCATAGCACCATAGCTGTGTTCGCGACGACTGAGTGCATGCTAACGGCCAGTTTCCACAGATATTTTGCATCGTGCGTTCCATACCATCAATATCGCCGGTCTTAGAAGCTTTTTATTGTGAGCTTGTCAGCTAGCTCGTTCTCAGCACGCAAAAATAACTTTTTTTTTTTTTAGTTATTTCGTTACGGCCGGGCCGGATACGCGCTCGCTGTCGGCTTCTCCAGTGAGACATGGCAGCACGTACGAAGCGCGCGATCGTTCTCCGTCAGGCTTTCCTCTGGATGCTGCGGGCTGTGGCCAGCTATAGTTCGTCTCTGCTTTCAGCATCTCGTAATCTGGAGCAGTGCCCGGAAGTCTGCCATTGATAGGAACGACTCGTGCGGCCGCCTTCAAGTTGCTTCAACGTGTGACGTCACCCGTCAGTGCGATCGACGCGATTCGTAAAAGGCCCGTATTCGTCCGATGTCCGCACAGCGATTGCGTAAGCATCTCATTAAAGGGGTCGTAAAACGTATTTCCGAAATTCTAAACTATATGTGTATC